GGGAACAATCAGAATCCCTGTCCAAATCCAGCCTATAGATTAGTCTGGACATTTTTTTTCTGATGGTATAAGCTTAGAGGAAATCCAGCTCCCATGAGCTTTTACCTTTGCAGAAAGCAGCAGCAGCTGATAGACCAGAGGGGGAATTTCCTGCAGGTCTAATTTGGAGAACATCCTAAGGACCTTTTCAACCACAAACTGCAGCTCCTCTCCTGATAGTGGAATATCCCTGTTGAATCAAAGATTCTTATTCATTAATATATTGTTAATTTTCCAAGGCTCACTCACACATGGAAACAAAACCACAATGACATGCCCAGCCCTTGGGACGTGCCTGCACAGCCGTGTTTTGAATCCACATGGATCTGGTGTGGATGTCCATCGACCAACCATCCATGGGGCTGTACCTGCTATGGTCAGACCTCCTTTTCCTACTTGCCCCAAACTACATGTTAAACAGGACAAGGACATGACCACAGCACAAGGCAGTGTTGATGCTGAAGGGAAAAAGAATTACCTGAACATGTTGGCAAGATGTATTACACACTGAGGATCCCACCTGGTGAAACAAAGGTACGTTGGAAGACTGAGAGCAAGCAGGATTATCATTTAGCTCTTTCCTCCTACACAATTATTCAATGTCACCATTTCCCTGTTACATTCTGATACTAAGATTAGAAGTCAGATTTCCAACAGAACTCATCAGCACCACCCTAACCACCCACATTTACAATGGTTCTGAACCACCCCAGCCCTTACAATAACAAATACCAAGAAAAGAATACAAACAAGCACTTCTGAGACCAGTGCATGCAATGGTCTCACCAGATCTGGGAACAGGGTGCTCCCTTGCCTTCCCAATCAGAGAAGACGCTGCCACAGAGGGCACAGATTCAAAGATGACAGAACACACAGCTCATGGTGATGCCTTTTTCAAAACAATGAAACACAATGTTTTGCCACATGACTAAGAGCTGGCAGATGTACTTACTTGCTGGAGCAGAGGGTATTTATCAGCTGCTTCTTAAACTCTTCCCCATTCAGTTCACCTGAAAAACCAAAAGTCTTGGGAGCTGGCTCCAGAGGAAGGGAGGACAAGGTGCAGGAGAAGCAGCTGATGGGGGTTACCTTTCCCATAAGCCAGGCTCTCCTTCGAACTGGCCAGTACAGTGAGAACAGTGGAAAACAGCTCCAAGGATTTCCCGTTAGAGAGGCTGCCGCCTTTAATAACATCAACAAACAGGTTGGCAAGCTCAGCCAATGCGTGGCCTGGCAGCTGGCGGGCCTGGGAGGACATGCAACAGGAAAGAGCCTGAGGCTGTGCACAGAATTCCACGTATACATCCAAACTGTTACCAAAAACCAGCTGAAGACAACATTTCTCACAGTGAAATGCTCCCCTTAAATGGGAATTTAGCCCTGAGTTCCCTGGTTTGTTTGCCCTTTACAGAACAGAGCAGTAAATCAAGATGATGTGATTATAGGTTTGGAGTTTTTAAGATTAAATATCCAAAGATAATCAAATTCACACACAGAACAAATTCCAACACCAGCTAACTTAGTCCATGGAACATTTGTGGAAAGGACACAACTCATTTTCCTCAGTGGCTTAGTGAAGTATCTCAATCCACATATAAAATGATACCCAGCAGAGCCCAGAAAAGCCAGCCTAAAGGAGCTTTACCTCCAGCATCAGCAGTCCTATGATTTCAGACACCTTGCCCAAATGTAGGTCTCCTGACTCCACTAGTGGGACGCAGTGCTTGTAAACCTGGAGTCTCCTGAGAACACCACTTCGCTGAGAGCAGGGGGAGCCTTATAGCAAGCAAATAATAGAGAGGGCAGAATAGGAAAAAAAAGTTATGCAAGTAACAACATGTTGCTAAACTACAGGAAATCAGCAGGGATAAACTGTCACCTGACTGCAACTCCCTATTTTATCTATCTGACAAAACAAATAAAAACGAATAATAAAAATAGTAATTAAAAAAACCCAAATAATAAAAAAAAACCAGAGCACAGAAAATGAGAATCTCTTGGATAAAGTAGTCAAAGCACTCAACACTGTTATCACACCCTGTGGCTCACTCAACCTGATGCCAGATATAAGGAACTGTCAAAATGTCAAGAAGAACCAGCCTGGTAATGCGGTTTTCAGCTGGCCAGCTCAGTCCTACTCCAAGGTATCCAAGTGCTCCCAAAATAAATCCCACTTATCACAAGCTCATTACAACTCTATTAGTCCAGTCTGCTATCTGCTGTGTTTTTTCGGGTGTCTTGTTTCCCTGTGACAGCCCTGACGAGTGGGTTTTTACCACAAAAGAGACACTTCCATGTGCTGTTCAGCACTGGCTGCACCCACCTGTGTTGTGAGTAGCGCTGGAGCCGCAGCCCCCTGAGAGCAGCTCAGACATCACCCACCTTTGAAGATCCCTCTCAGCAGAGCCGCCGTCTCCCTGCCCTTCAGCGCCTGCCTGGTCACCATCTCGCCCAGCTGCAAGAGAAGGGGACGCTGTGAGCCGCCCCCCGCCCGCGGCGCTGCCCGGGCGGCGCATCCCTCGCTCCCCGCGCACCTCGGCCTCGCCCAGGCTCTGCAGGGCCTCCTGCAGCCGCTCGGGGCCCTCCTCGGCCGCCAGCGACAGGATGCGCTGGGCCATGGGGACAAGGAACCGCCCGGGACCCCTCGGGCCGCGACTCCGTCACCCCGAAATTCCCGCCCGGAAGCGCCCGCGCGTCACCCGGGAAACAGCTCCCGCCCCCGGCGCGCGCTTCCCTTCCCGCCCGGGCCGCCCGGGGGACCGCGGGTTCGAGTCCCGCGGGGCGCGGTGTCACAGGATGGGTCAGGTGCGAAGGGACCGCAGTGGGGTCATATGGCCCAACCCCCCTGCTCAGGCTGGGTGGTCCCAATGGTCCCTGTCATATATACCACAGGGTTGTGTCCAGACGGTTCTGGAACATCTCCAGCGAGGGAGACTCCACAACCTCTCTGGGCAATCTGTTCCCAGTGCACGGTCACCCGCACAGCAAAGTTGATGGAGCTGAAGAAGTATGGAGTGGGGTGCAGGCACGTGGGGTGCAGAGCGGGGTGCTGGGTGACATGGGGTGCAGGCACGTGCGATGGGCAGCTTGGGAGGGGGGGCAATGAGGCGCTTGGCACAAAGTGCCCATTCAGGGCCACCCCGCATCAGCGGCACCTGGCCCCGCGAGTGCCACCCACGTGGGGTGAGGATACATTTGAGTAAAAGCCCCTTAATTCCGGGGGGTGTGAGGGGTGGCCTTGGGCGTACCAGGAGGTTTAGCCCGCCTTTAAGCAGTGGGATTTAGCCAAAAGATCCGGTGCCAGCACATCGTGGGAGCTTTCGCAAGCCCCGTGAAGCCCCGTGCTCACGTGGAGTGGGAGCTGATGCTGCCGAGCAAGGGGAGCAGGTTTGCCCCGGGCCAGGGCCCGTGGGGAGGGGGATAACCGGACCTGAGAGAGAGATCCCCTTAGGGCTCCATCACAGCACTCCAGGGTAGGTCCCCATTGGGGCTGCCACCCCTTTCCTTGAGACCCCTTTTCCCAGGAGAAAGCACTCATTTGGTGATGCCAGGGGCTCCACATGTGCCTGCAAAACTACTTCATCTGTGATGAACATGATTACCAGGGTGCCTAGGTGGCCCAAGGATCACTCTGGTGCTCTCTGCCACTCCAATAGAGCACTGTTGGGTCTGTTTGGGAACCCCCACACTGACAGTGTCCCCCCACTGTGCACTGTCTTGCCCACTGGGCTGCAGACAGAGGTCCAACAAGCTGTAGGAGGGAGCTGAGCCTTGCACCGGGGCTGATGTTGAAAGGGGACAGGAGGGTTGAGGGTCTCCTCTGAAGGGCATTGCCCAGTGCCTCTGGCTGTTGTGCCCCTGGCCATGGCAGCATCGCTCAGGGTTTTGGCACAGGTCCAAGTTTTCCAGCAGCAGCACCCCCGCCTTTCATCTGGAGTCTCGTGCCTTCCTCCTCCTCCCCCCTCCTCCCTCCCTCACACTGGGGTCTCAGCTCTGTTTGCAGGACATCCCTGTGTGGAACCCAAATCCGTAAATCCCAGAGGCATTACAAAACATGCCTTGTGTAAGCCACTTCAGCCCTGCTCTGGCGCTTAACCCGGCCCTGCCACCTCCCCAAAATCCACATTGCTGTAAGAGCCCAGCTGAGCTCTTCTCCTGGGCTTGAACACAGCTCTATCCTCACCACATCCTCACCCAGCTCCCACAATCCTGGACCCAAAGAGTTAAGGCTACCAGGGCTCTCCTGCTCTACGCAGCTTCAGCGTGCTGGGGCGTCCCAGAAAAACTCATTTTGCCATCCCGCTGCACCCACATGTGGACTCACTGTGATCCCTACCACTTCCCAGGGCTCCCTTCCCTCACAGGTCTGTGGCATCACCCTGGAAATGAAATGGGTTCCAGTTCCCAAAGCTCCAAGCACTTGAGGATGTTGTAAAAATTCTGGCCATGTTTTTTTTATTGTAAAAGCTGAAAGGGGCCCCATATGGATGCCGGTTTGGGTGGCCTCACTGGGGAGGAGTTGGAGAGCCTCAGGATGGACCAGTCCCAGGAGCATCCTCTGTCACAGTCCTGTCCCCGCAGTCAGACTCTGCCCACACGGCCAAATCCACAGCAGGACCTTTCCAGAGTTTCGGGGCAGAAGCTGGGGAAGAGACCTGTCCTGCTTTCCCCGGGGAGCAGGCTGGGATGGCAGGCTGCCCACCACCTGCCTCTGCCCCTGCCCCGCGCTAATGAGCGAGTTACACAACAAGGAGCTTTTATACTTTGTTAATCGGGTCCGGCATCCCAGCCCGCCTCTCCACGCACGCTCCCGCTGGCCGGCCGAGCCCCAGCTCCCTCCTTCCTTCTCCTCAGCTGCCTTTTGTAATGTTTTAATGGGTTTTTTTGCCTGGGTTGTGCTGACTTAATTACAAAGCTGCAGTGAGTTGATGCCTTGTGACGGTCTAATCCCAACCCGGTGACTCTACAAAGCTTTCGCCCGGCTTTCTCACTGCTCCACTCTGGCCTCACCATCCCTGCGTCCACCTCAGCCCTGTGCACTGACCTTCTGTGGACAGTTCAGCTTTTCCTCTCCTTGGTGAGTATCCAGAACTCTTTCCACTGGAAGGAACTGCATTGAAGACTGTCATCCAGCCCTCGCTTAACCTGGTACCTCCAGCGCTTGGATTGGTTTTACCACCTGGAAAAAGGGGATGCCTGTCCCTTCCCCAGGAGCTGGAGGGAAAGAGAATGCCCTTGGGAGATGGTTGACCCAAATGCTGGAGCCAAGCATCCCTTGCACAGCCTGAGCTCAGAGCTGGTCCTACAGCCCGGCACAGGCTGGGGGAGATGCTGGAGACAGGATGAAGGCAGTTCTCCTCCCGAGGGATGGGAACAAGGTGTTTCACTGAGACTGCATTGGCAAGATGCCGAGAGGCTCATGGTCCAACCTTGCAGCTGGCAGTGGGCTCTGGGCTGGAGTGGTTGGACTCGAGGGTGTGGGAAACTCTTTGAGGATAATTATTTATTTTGGGGATATTATTTATTTTGGTAGTAGAAACAAAAGGCAATAAAAGGGTGAGTTGGCTGCCTGACCAAAGCTGGGTGCTCACCTCTGCCTGTGTGAAGGTGGTCTGAGACAGAACACTGCTGTGTGAGCTCAGGTTGTTGGGGGTCCCCATGAGATGTCTCCAGCCTCCAGAGGAAAGGCAGAGTAAGAAAAACATATGAAGGTATCAGATGATCAATATTTTCAAGCTGCTTTTGCAAACATCTATGGTGTTTCTCCAGGCTGCTCAGTCTCTGCAGGCAGGCAGAGATACAGACAGTAGGTGATGGAGCTGAGGAGGGTTGGGGGTGTTCTCTGGGCACCCATCTCTACCCCTGTCTGAGTAAGAGGGTCAGGGGATGGGGCATAGGAGCGCTGCAGAGACCGTTAGGATCACCAGCACTTCTGATTCCTCCTTCCCTCTCACAGTGTCCTGCAGCTGACAGAGGACAGAGGACAACATGTCTGCGGTTGTGAGTACTGCCCCCACACCACCCCATCCTTTAGGCTCTGAGCATCCCCTCCTTGCAGTACTGGGGTGGGGTTCACCCTGTGCACCCCCTGCCCCCTCAGCTGCTCTCAGCCTGCAGTGGGGAGCCTGGGCAGCACACAGTCCATCCCCCATCCCATTGCACTTTCTTGGGTCATGCATGGAGGCTCTCCCTGCCCCAGGACACTTGCAGTGGGGCAGGGAGCTGGGGGCTGGCTGGGGAGACCCCACATGCTCTCCTCACCCCCAGACGGGCACATTCCGGATCGTCTCGGAGGAGGAGCAGGCCCTGCGCACCAAGCTGGAGCGCCTCACCACCAAGGACCACGGCCCCGTCTTCGGGAAGTGTGAGAAGATCCCCCCACACACCCTGCAGAAGGTGAGGGCGGCTGTGGGGAGTGGGGGGGCAGTTGCAGCCCAGGGCTCCTGCTCCTTCTCAGGGGCCAGAGGAGCCCCTTGACCAGCTCTTGCATTTGGGGATGCACTAAGCCCAAAGTGACTCCAAGTAGGGGACTTGGGTGAGCCTTCCCTCCCTGTGCTGAGATGCTGCGAGGAGCTTGACTGTCCTCCCTTGGTTTTTGGGTGCCTAAATGACCTCCAGGGTGTTTTAGAACCTGTGTGGGGCATCACTGAGCTGAGTGCCCTCTCTGCTCCCCCCCAGGCGAAGGATGAGCTGAACGAGATGGAGGAGCAGAGGGGGGTGGCGGTGAAGGCGCTGCGGGATCTGGTGCAGGAGCACGCGAGCGGCGACGACGTTTGCAAGGCGGTGGCCGAGAAGGTGCAGGGGAAGGATGATTCCTTCTTGCTCCGCTTCATCCGTGCCCGCAAGTTCGATGTCCACAGGGCCTATGAGCTGCTGAAAGGTGGGGAGGGGTCCAGGGCTGTGATGTTGGGTTGAGGGTGGGGTACATGTCCACCAGCAGCCCCCCCATCTCTGTGCTGGTGCCTCCTAGGCCCCCAGTCTGGGCTGGGCTGGCAGAGCAGGACCCTGGCATGGAAAGGGGATGAAGAGAGAGGAAAAATAGAAAAAGACAGGGCTGGGGGCCTCAGAAAGAGCTGGGATGGGGAAAGAAATAAGTGAGGGTGATGCCAGGTATCCTGCAACACCAGGGCAACGCCATTCCTTGCCAATTTACCAAACAAAATGGAAAAAAAAAGCATTTGGTGGTGTCAGGATGTTTCACTTGTGCAGAAAACCCAGATGGTTTGGGCTGCATCCCCTTGAGATCCCTATGCCCTATACATGCCCTATACTCACCCCTCTGTACCCCTGCAAGGATCCAGTCCTGCACCCCCTGATGCTTCTGTGCACAGTTCCTTGGGTGCTTAGCACCCCTGGGACACCTCAAGGGCTGGGGGCAGGCTGGAGGGCTTGGGGCACCCCCTCCTCCATAGGGATGGATGGAGTGACCCATAGGGGTAGAGGAGAAGCAGGAGGGCAGCCTGGAGGGTGGCTGCCGACTGGGACCTGCCTGGCTCCAGCTCTGCTCTTCTTTGTGTCAGCTTGGGAGATAATGAGTTGTAATTATCAGTGCTGGCTCCCAAACGAGCTGTTTTGTTTGCCTGCATTTTCCCAGGACGAAATAAAAAAAAAAAAATTTCGTGCCTGCAGGGTACCAAGGGAGGGGAGCTAGGGGATGTCACCCAAACAGAGAGAAAGGAGAGAAGGGAAATGAGGGGAAAAATTACTTTATCTGCTTGTTGAGGTGTTGAAGAGAAGGCAGGTATGGGAAGCTCCCAGCAAGGGGAGGATAACACCAGGCATGCTGGGGCTGGTCTGCTGCTGTGCTTCTTTCCCCCCCCCCTTTGCTGGAGGAGTCCTGACCCATGTGGACCCCAGGCACAGCTCTGGGGGTCAGGACTGACATCTCACTGTTGCCAGTCCATCCCATCTGTGGCAGCTCCCCCAGCTGCCTGAGGCTGGGCAAGCAGCCCTCGTCCTCTCAATTTCTGCCTCTCCCCAGGCTACGTGAACTTCCGCCAGCAGTACCCTGAGCTCTTTGAGAACCTGAGCCCCGAGGCCGTGCGCAGCACCATCGAGGCCGGGTATCCCGGCATCCTGGCCAGCAGGGACAAGCATGGGCAGGTGGTGATGCTCTTCAACATCGAGAACTGGGATTACGAGGAGATCACCTTTGATGAGGTCAGTTCACCTCAGACACTGCTCCCAGAGCAGGGTGGGGTCCCGCTCCCGGACTGTTCCCGCTGGCAGAGCTGAGCACAGCATCCTTACACACACATACACATGTCCACACACACACATCGAGGTTGAAGTCAATCTGTAGCCCTCCGAATTTATCCTTTGAGGAAGCCTGGGAGAGCATGGCCCATCTGAAAGTGTTCCCCTTCCTTCCCCTCCAGTGCAGTGCAAGGTGCACACCAAATTCGGGGTGTACATCCCCCAGCCCAGGTAACATGGGGTGAAGAAAGGCACCACGCCATTAAAACAAGGTCCTTCTGAAAGGAGGGATGTACAGGGCAGAGGAGGAAGCTGAGGACACAGAAAGGGCTTCTTGGCAAAGTGGTCTCCAGGCATGTAACTCACAGCTTCTCTCAGCTCCGTTTTCTGCTTAGCTCTGAATTTGGTTGCAACATATCATTGATCCAGATCTGAGATGCTCCTAACTTGAAAGGGAATGTGGTGGTGGCTGAGCATCCCCTGAAATGCCTTCCCTGCTCTGAAGTCCTGGGGCTGGCTGTGACAAGCAGACCCTGGCTAACACTCCATGGGACTCTTCCTGGGAACCTCCTGATTCCTACAGCAGGTTCCTATTGGAGACAAGACCTCATATAAGACCCCGCTGTCTCTCCTCTCCATTAGATCCTTCGTGCCTATTGCATTATCTTGGAGAAGCTGCTGGAAAACGAAGAGACCCAGATCAATGGGTTCTGCATTGTTGAGAACTTCAAGGGCTTCACTATGCAGCAGGCATCAGGGATCAAACCCTCTGAGCTCAAGAAGATGGTGGACATGCTGCAGGTGAGGTGGTCAAGTCTGCACCCAGCAGCAGCAGAGAGGGCCCTGGTGGAGCAGAGAGCTCAGGGAAGGGAGGCAGCAGGGTTTGGGATTGCCACCACAATGGCACAATGAGAAGGCATCACGGAGAGGCTGTTCCCCATCACCTCCTCCTTGCCTTGCCAGCTAATTGGCTTAATCCTTGCAAAATGGATCCTAATTTTCCCACCCCATCTCCCTGCCCTCTCAAAAGTCTGACCAGAAGCAGTACCATCACTTGCAACATCCTATGGCATGGCCTGGAGGTCTTTCCTCACCAACCTCTTGGCCCTGCCCCATCCAGGCTGGATGGAGACTCAGAGGCACTTCAGGATTTCTGTCCTTGGACCAGAGGCCAAAGACTCAGCTCTCCCCAGGGAAGGAGGGCAGCAGAGATGTGATCCTTCTCATGGAGTGGGAGCAATGAGCTATCTAGGAGGCTCTTCAGCTTCCTGGTGCTCCTGGGACTGGGATGGCTGATCCTCTGGGTCAGAACACAAAGGGGCCATCAAACAGAGAAGGGGAGATTGGGCAAGGAGAGCTATGGCAATGCTGGGGTGACCACTGCTGCCTGCCCAGATCTGGATGGACAGCACCATCTGTAACCATCTGTGTCTCGGTTTGGGATCCTAGGACTCCTTCCCAGCACGGTTCAAGGCCGTCCACTTCATCCACCAGCCTTGGTACTTCACCACCACCTACAACGTGGTCAAACCATTCCTGAAGAGCAAACTGCTGGAGAGGGTGAGTGTGGGAAAGGGACCTGGAGGCAAAGGTACATCCCTGGGTGAAACAGAGTGGTTGGGAAGAACGGTTCCAGTCCTCTGCTGAGAGTCACTCCCATCTCCCTCCAGGTCTTTGTGCATGGGGAGGAGCTGGAGTCCTTCTACCAGGAGATTGATGCTGACATCTTGCCAGCTGACTTTGGTGGCAACCTGCCCAAGTACGATGGCAAAGCAACTGCAGAGAAGCTCTTCGGGCCCCGCATCGAGTCGGAAGACACAGCTCTCTAAAGCAGGGGCCTGCTCCCCCTGCCCTGTACAGTAGCATCAGAGGTGGCCCTCTAACCCCAGCCACCTCCTTTCTGTAGCATTGGTCGAGTGACTGCTCGTGATGAGGCGCTCTGGGCACGTTGCTCCACGCCTGTCCCTCCCCTCCCCACTCCAGGCAGCGGGGCTGCCCGGCAGCTCTGTCCCTCCCGGGCAGAGCACCCTTCCCTTGGGAGCCAGCAGAGAAAGGAGGCCACCAGCCCCCTCCCACAGCATTCCCTGGAGCTGTGGGGGGAGGACAGGAGAGTGTCTGCTCTGGGAAGGGAGGGTTACAGCGAGGGAGAAATAAAGTGTTTAACAACAGAGCTCTGGGGTCCCTCGTGGTAAGGAACAGGGACGCAGCTTTTTGGGCACTGGCTGTGTTGGTGGTTTTAAGGAGGCCAGGAGTGTCAGCATTTCATAGGAGACCCCTCTCCCTCATCACTGACTACCCTTTGGCACAAGGACCAAGGAGCTGTCTGTCTCCATCCCCCCTGCATCCCAGATCAAGTCCCACCCCTGCCTGAGCAAGGACTCCCAATTCTTAGTCACCTGCTCTAACCAGGAAGGAGAAAACAGCCCAAAAGATGCAAAGAAAAACCCCATCAGGGGCCCAGGCAGAGCTGGCTGTGCCTAATTCCTACTCAGCCAGGCAGGCAGGGAGGAGGAACGGAGGCTGCAGCAGCCAGAGACTAGGAGATGGATTTCAAGCACAGAACAATGAAAGACAACCAGAATGTACCCTCCTAAATCCTTCAAAAGCTGTTTCTCCTAGCACTGCATTGTGAGAGGGAGCTTAGTCAGGGAAGCTCAAACAAAAGCCAGGGTGGAGGGCAGAGGAGGGTCCCTGCCCAGTAAACAAGCTGTGCCTGATGCTAATTAGACCTTGCTAATGTGGAGTCAGCAGAACCTGGGTGGGGAGGAGGGAGGCAGAAGTAGCTGTCCCAGGCAAGGCAGTCTGTTCTGGTCCATGAACCAGGCACCTCCTCCAAGGAGCTGATCAGATACCCATTTCTAAACCATCTTCTCCCTTGGTCAGCAGTAGGGCTTGGGAGACGAGCAAGTTACTGGTCTTTGCCTGGGTTACCTCATCCCTCAGCCTGGTCCTGCAGTGTGCTCTGTCCCCCCTCCCATCTTCATCTTTCATCAGCCAGAGCAGCCCTCCCCACCCAAAGCTGGCCGAGGTGGAGGGCACTGACAACAGCCACATTCATCAGGGCACTGGCTCAGGCTCAAGCCAAACAGGACGTCGGCTCTGAAGCCACAGGGAGGATGGGGCCTGTCTGGCCAGAGGCCACTGGGGTTAAATCTGTTTGCTCCAGCCCCAACAGCATGGTGAGGCCATGCATGGCAAGTCCCAGCCTGAGGCTGTGCCAACCTTGTGTGAGAGGCCAGAGGGAGAGCAAAAGGCACCTCTTGGCTTCATTTGGCTCCTTATTGTATCTGGAGCCATCCCAAGGAAACCACGTGTGACAACTCTGCAAGCATCAGGCCAGTGCAAACACAACAGCACAGCTTGCCTGGGAGTCAGAGCAATTGCAGCTTGTGAAAACAGGAAAAGAAAACAAAAAACAAACAACCCAACAAAACCATACAGACAGAAGCACCACACTGCTGCCTCTGGGACTTGGGCAGTGACAGATTTTGGGAGGTCCCTGTGGCTGCTCACCACTGCTGGGACAGATTGTCAGCCAGTAGCTTGCTTTGACAGAGAGACAGAACAGCACAGCAGAGCAGGGAGCAGTGTCTCTGACCAAGCCAGGAAGCAGGTTTAAAGTAGGACTAACAGCTAAATCTCAATGGCCAGTAAAATAGAGATGAAGCCCAAAACAATTCCCACAAAGTAATTCCCATTACAGGGGAAGAGCAGCAACAGTCCTGTCCCAACCCTGCTGCCTCAAGGACTCACAAATCCCAGTTACCCTCCACCTCTATCTCACTCGGTCTGTAGGTAATGAACCACACATCAGTGAGCTCTTAAGTGTCAGGTGCTTCTGTATACTCTGGGCTCAAAGGTGTCACTGTCCTGGCAGGAGTTGCTGTTGTTTTTCCTGCCAGCAGCTGAAAGGTTAGGAAATCCACTCCCTGTCAGGCAGGGTAAAATAACAGATGTTCTCCACTGGCAAAAATAACCCTTCTTCACTATTTTCAGGGCAGGCATGCAGTTTAAGCTGATGCCATGCCCATTCTCCACCAGAATGGCAAAGACCCCTTCTTGTCCAGAAGACAAAAGGCAACTGGGAAAGGCTTGAGCAGCACTAGTGCTTGCATTATGTGCTGCAAGGGAGAAAGGGGGAGAAGATAAAGTCACCCCTCCAGCCAGCTCCCACACTGGGCCTCAGGGAAGACTGAGAGCCTCTGCCAACATATATAACTTCACACACAGTCACTAGATGTAGCACTGACTTCAATAAGTCCTTTATTTTTAAATAAAGAAATCCCACCAAATCAAAGATAACAAAATTACATTTTGTTTTGCAGTGACTTCCATCTTACACCACACAAGAACAAAAATTAATGAAAAAAATCAAAGACATTGTTTTATATATATTTATATATAATTTTAAAGGTAAACATCAGCAGATATAGAAAAATTGCATTGCTAGTTGCAAATCATCTCCCCTGAAGCTCTCGGCTCCAGAGAATCTGACTCAGAACATGGCAGCAGGGAGGGTGTCTCAATATACAAGTTTCTTCAGGGCAGCACTTAGAGATGGTTGCAGAATATAATTTTGCCAAATTGAAAATGTTTTTGTAGTCAACTGCTCACCAAGAACATTAGAAGTCACTCTGCCTGTTCTAATACAGCTGCACAAGCAAAACAAGAGCACAGGTCTCCTCTTCCCAAGCTCTTCACACACCTCTTTGGCCTGGAAGTTTCAGAGAGAAGAGGTTCTGCTTTCTCAAGAAGAACATCTAGTGATCTGTCATTAGGAATTATGGTCAAGCTGTCACATAACACGAGAAAATATGCTTCTTTGGAAAGCTGTTGACTTGGGCTAAGTAGTAGGGTTTGGTTGTATCAAATACAAATGGGTTTTGTTTGGCTTTTTATTTTAAAGACTTCCCAGTTGGCAGGAGCCATGAGAGGGGTCAACATCCCAGTAGAACTATAGTGGAGATCAAAGTTCTGTGTCTCATCTCTAGTCATGAAAGAGCTTTGACTACAATGCAGTGCCATTCAGACAAAAGCAAAAAGGCTTTGTGCCACCTTCTACAGATGTTCAGGAGAACCCTAAAAACTCTTCCACACCACAGCATGGAAAGCTGACAAAGTCCAGGCCTGTGTAAAGCCTACTCCCAGTGAGAAGAGGGTACAGTTACAGGGCTCCCCTATCTTGGGCTGGTGCTGCTCTGAGGCAGTCTAAGCTTGGAGAAAACTCAAAGTCCTCACACCAAGCAGGGCTGTTTGCTTTTCACCTAGAAGCCACGAAGGAGACACTGCTTTGAGTCACTGTGGCTCCAGGACTTTCCCAATGAACAGACCCACCTAAGGAATAAGGACACAAGGAGTATGGCTCAAGCCAGAAACAAGATGCTCTTTACAACAGATGACTTCCACATGCAGCAGAAGGCTCAGGCCTTCTCTGGTCTCACCAAAAAAAAAAAAAAAATTGAAGAGTTTCAATAAGCTCCAGACAAGCATAGTATTTCCAGAAAAACTTGGAAGCAATCCAGGTGACTAAACTGTTTGGCAATTAAATCCTGAAGATATTCCTCTCTGCTCTTTCTTTTCAGATGTAGTCACTTAATCCACCTCCAGCTATGCTGCTGGCGTGTTAATAGACACAAGAACTTTGGGATTGTAAGACAACAAATCACATACCAAGCAAAGCAAACCTTGCTTCTATGACTCAGTTCCAACTGCTAGAGGAGCAGAGAGCTGCAAATGATCCACTGCTTATATACATTGTTATTTTATGCCTTGAAATAGACTGTAGCTAATTGTAGGCTGCCCACAAAGGTCCTTTAAGTCAGCACACACTTGTACAGTGTACATCAAGGATGTGCCTTGATACCTAGTGTCTAAAAATTCATTTACCAAAAAGCAAAGCCCCAAAAGCTCTGACAGAGCTGTTACTGAAGTCTTTAGATATGCTGATGTGAAGGGAGGAGGAGAAAAAGGGCAAGGCACCACGTGTCAAAGGGCTGTGGTCTAGGAACTTGTGGCAGACCCAGGACAGATGACACAGAGATAGCTTGGCTGAATTCAGTACTGGAGTTAATAGTTCCCAATATTTTTACTAAATGCCCTCTCCTTGTAACTTGTATCTTCACAAACAGGAACTGCAGAAAAACAGTGGGAAACAGAAAAAGACCGTAGGGAAGTCCAAGTGTTTGCCTTTACAGTGCAACTACAATACTGCCAGTCCCATCTGAAAACACCTCCGCTTAGAAGCTAACAAAGGTACCACTAAAAAAGGTGGTTCAGTAAGAGCAAGCTTGAGCTTCTTACCTACCATGTTCAGATCTCTCCAGAAAAATGGCAAAGGTGATGGTTGGACCAGCCTAACCATCAAAGAATAATTCTGCAACGTGTTGACTGATTGAGAAGGTCCTTGGGGTTTATGTTCAAGTGCTACTTACATCCAGTGATGGGAAAGGGGTGTATACCATGAGACTACCTGTGGAAGAACTCTCCTAATGCTTCTTCTAATCCCAATTTGAAACTGAACAGAGCACACATCAGATTTGTCATGCTGTGATCTTGAACTGCTCTATCAGACCATACTGCAATGATCTACAGGTGCACACCACAGCAGCTTCATGTGTCTTGATGAGAGATGAAAGACAACCTCACCTTTAAGACTGAAAAATTCAGACTGCATTTAAGTTTGTGTTCACTGGGCAAATGAAGACCACCTGCCCACATAACAAGACTAGTACTGCCTTATTTTGGGAAGTAAGAGTATTTCAGAGGAGGACTGGACAAAGTCCCACGTGTCTAGGGGCACTGGCACTAGATATCAGTTGTCAGTCATGGTTGGTAGCAAGATTTAATAGACAATTTTAAGGTCTTCAGATAATATGCACTGCAGCTTAATTTTCTTAATTTTTTAATTGTATGACCACAAATCTTGCTTTGAAAGAAGCATCAAGTTGGCTGAGATAGAGAGAATAGGGTTTTTTTCCACTGCTTCCACACACAAGCTTAATAAGCCGAACTTCAGGCTCCAGAAACCTTTGCATGCACAAGCCATGACAAAAGCTCTTCTTCCCCAAAGAGACCAGAATCAGTCAAGTCACAAGCCATTTGAACAGTTTTAGATGCAAGTGCAAAAACAGGGCAAAGGAGCAAGACAGAGACCCATATTACTTCTTGAGAGTTTCAAGAAGTCCACAGCACTGGCACTTCTGAATTATGAAGGCTTGGATTCTGGGGCAGGAAGAAGTATTCCTCAGAAAGACCATGTAACTTGAAAGAAAAAACCTGTTTCATTAGACAAAGTTACAGCTCCTGCTGCTTTGAGAACTGCCCAGTTGCTCACCTCATTTTAGGAGACTGAGACACCTAAATTTATACTGTATCTATTTGATGTGTACAAGTGTTGTTTACACTCCACTTTGCTGAAACAAGAAGATATTTAAGTCATAACCAATGAATATTGCATGAACACTACTTAAGCAAAAAACTGAAATGTCTTTTATGACATATTTTAGTGATGCAGTATGAATAAGAGGATAACACAGAGACAAGATATCCCTCAGCTAAGAATATCCTTGCTAACTGATGCCCTAAAATAGTTCTTAAGGAACAGCCACAAGCATGGCCAAGTCTTGCTGTAGCTTTACTTGGTTTCATTTTTCTTTGAAGAAAAAAGGAAACCTGGATTTACTAACAAGGAGAATGTCCAGATATCCACAGTTCGTTGTAACAGGCCAAGGTGTCTGGCCTAAGGCAAATGAAAGAAATTTCCTGATATGACAATGCACCTTTGCTACAATAGTTAATTATTGCTTTATTAAACCAAAACCCCACCTCTCCACCCTACTGAAGTTCAGGGACAGGGCAGTCCAGAAGGCTTGTTCCCCTGTATTACCAGACTGAAGTCCTGCTGCTTGTTTCACCCTTAAGTTATAAATTAAAGTGCCTGGAACACAGACCAAGGCTGAAGCAATAAAGTGCTGATGTGGGAATTGTGACAGGAAAAGAATTTCACTGACACTGTGATAAAGAAATCCTGAAGATGGATTAATGAAACTACAATATTGACAGAACAAACAGAAAAAAAGATTTTTTTTTACCACAAAGTTTCAGTCTCCAGATTGTCTTGGGACAACTTTCCTTCCAGGAGACAGACTAGAGTCTTTAATAACCATCTTGGCACAGACCATAACAGCCACTTGAAGGAAAAGCACAAGTGAGTAGGCATCTTTTCTGCAACCAGCTTTCACACCTCACTTTGCACATTAAAACTAGAAGGGGATGTCTGAGTGTGGAAAAGAAATTCAAGTGAGACAGAGCCCAGTGTCTTACTGGAGCCAGTAATCCTACAGATATGGAAGTAGTCAGCCATGCAAAGATGTAATTTCAGTTGCACAGAGCTAGACACATCCTGTTCCCCATCAACTGTAAGGCAAGTCATGTCTGAAAACCATTGGATGCTCTGAAAGCCAAGGGGAAGAATTTTTATATTATTTGCCATGACATAAGGTGAATAAATCTAAAGAGATACACCCCACCCCCCTGCCAATTAATCCCTAAGAGTACATAGCTCTCCATGAAATATTCTTTAAAACAGACCAATCTCACGGAAAAATCCTGCAGATTCTTGATCATGGGTTTCCATTTGGAAGCCAGAGCCAGCCCTGGGTCAAACAAAGAATCCAGTACTGAAAAGATGACTGCATTTAAAGAGAGGCAAAAATGACAAGGTGACTGATCAGGTCCTGAAGTGAGAAAATGCTTACACATAGAAACATTAACTGGCATTACCAGGCTGCAGCTCTTCTCTACTTGGAGTCCCAGTATAAAACCACCCCAAACCACAGACAGCTGAAGCATAGAAAATTGAATATTTTTAAAGTGATTCACTTGTGCAAGTGCATTCCTAGGAACTACAAGGTTTCCCTTGAGATGGTGCAAAGCTGAAACTCCACTTGCAGTCAAGCATCTATTTTTCCAAGCCACATTGTAGTGGCTTACAGACTGAACATTTACTGGCTTGTGGCTTGGTACAGGTATTTTCCAGCACCAGAACAGGGGACAGAGCCATAGTTACCTGGTCATTTATACTTAAACGCTGCAGATCAAATTTTTGACCAGCAGGTGAAGAGATTTCGACATTTGAAACTTCTGTTATATTAAAGCAAGCAATATTTAGCTCAGTAGCCCTGTAACAAGCCACACTCAGCAACCTAATTCTTCAAGCAGAGGAGTAAGTTACAAACCCAAGTGACTATACACCCAAAAGTGCTCTGACCAGATGTTAACCTCTGCTTTAACTCCACTTCGGAAGAAAACATTGTGATCAAACCCCAGCCATAGGATATCAAGGAGAATGGAAACCTGAAGCAGCAGGTGAGGGAACAAGATGTTCCCAAAGGGGGAGCTTTATTGAAGTGATCCAGAGTCTTTGGGTCAATTACTCCTGGGCAGACATGGCCTGCTCTGCATCCGAGCAGTGAGGCTTTGTCTTCTCCCACTGGCAGATGGCATTGGCATACTGCACCACGAGCTTATCCATCCAGGTAAGAGGTTCTGGGAACAGTACAGACCCCTCAAAGAATCCCAGGTGGCCTCCATGAAGGGGCAGCACATGCATGACATTTTCTTTTTTCTCTGTAAAACAAAAGGAGACAAAGTTCCAGAAGGTTAACATCTTTGAGCTGAGAATGAAACCATCTTAAGCTGACAGCACAAGAAGGCTGCCCAAGAAATGCTGCTGGCCAGGCCCTTACAGCAATAGCTGTATTGCTCTAAGAATGCACATTCTTTAACAAATGAACATCTTTAACTCACATCCACTGGAAGCAGGACTGTTGCACCACGTCAAGCTGCACTAAGCTCTGACAGTGTATCAGCCATCTTGTTTCATGGATACTGAAAAAAAACCCCTGTGCTTGCTCCTGTGGATAGATTCTCTGCTCACAGCCTTCAACCAGGAAAAGAATGGAGCCTGCTTCCTTCCCTGCACACCCACTATTTGCGTGATGAAGCAGCAGCAGCTCCCCCTTCTGAGCTAATACAGATAATTTTCCTTTTTCCTTGTTTGAAGACAGCTCAACTCCTTTCAAGGGAGAGATCTCAGTCCAGTGCCAAGTGACACAGCCACTCACACACTCTCCCTCTTCCATCATCAAAGGGGGGTGTTTATCTGTGCTTCTTCCAGACTGTCACTAATACCCACCTTTCTATTAAATCCCAGTGAGGAATGAAGACATGAGGAATCATTTTTTCCATCCAAGAATATAACCTGGATGTCACCTGCTGGCTATCAACACAAGCCAAAACAGCAGAGTGGACTAAAGTTCTTCCCTGCTCAAGGTTAGTCTTGCTAGTTCTAGCAACTGGTGATTGAAAGAGGCTTAGCACACCTCCCACAGCATTACAGACATAAGGAGGAAGTCCAGATGCTTTGAGATGGTGAATCATGATGTGATAAGCAAGCTGCAGGTGCACAAATATGCACAGCTGGAGGAGACTGCTTCAGCATACCTGAAAGAGCTCTTGGAATTGATAGAAGACTCTCATGGACAAGAGGGTCATCAGCAGCATTAACCAACAGAAGAGGAACATAGATCTGCATCAAGAAACATGGCACAAAAGGAAAAAAACCAAAACTAAGGGGTTGGTATTTGAATGTCAATCTACCAACTGTAAAAGTTTCTTCATTTAATTCAGTTAAGACCACTTATTGCAGAGTTAATTTATTGTTTCCCCTCAGCTCAGTTGTAAGAAAGAGGCCGGGGTGTATCAGAGCAAACACAGATCAAATCTCTATTCTCAGAATCCAAATAGCTACACCCTTTTTTTCCTCTGCTTTGCACATCAGGCAGCTAGTGTCAGCTCTGTTATGGACACCTTGGTTAAAGTCCAGGAAACTCCCTTGGAACATCTCCATCCTTCGGTTCAGTAGAAAAAGGAAGAATTAATCCCAGTTCCACTTCTGCAAAACTCTGCTCTACTAAGCACCTGCCTGCCAGACAGTGTCCCAAGTCTCTTCCACAGCATCCAGTAAACCTTTCTTCCTGGAAACTGCAGGCTCTACACCACCACCCATTTCCCACCTTATCATGATGCACTTGGAGCAGCTCAGCTGGACACACGGCTTTATCCAGATCACTTGGGTGCTACTACTTGCCAGAATTATAACCTGGTTAGAGCTCAGAGCATTTACCCCCAGTATTAGAGGTAGCAAGAACTGAATTCCCACTCCAATATACTGTGCCTGATTATTTCTGAAAATCCTAGCTAAGACAGCTGTGTCAGGTGTCAACAAAAGCCACTGAGTATTTTCTCTCCAGTAGGAAAATGAACGTACACGAGCAGTCTATTGCAAGAGCTTACCGTGTGCAAGTACTGCAGGCAACTTTCCTTTTCATAGTATTCCTTCAGTGAGCTGTAGCCATGGAACTTCCTGAAATAGAGCAGATTGTCATTGTAATCATCTGCTTCTAGTACCCATGTGACTGTTACTTTCAAGTGAGGACATATACGCAGAAACAGGAATGATGCCTCAATTTTCAAAGAATTTAATACCCAGTGTCTTTGCAAAACCCACCTTTGGCATTACATGCCTTTATGCTTTCTGTGTTTACTCAAACATTGTGAGAGCATGGGCAAGTTAAAAATGCAAGTTGAAAACTAGCAGGCTTCAGGGTATTTCTTTTAAAGTATCCCACTTCACTTAACTGTACGTGTAGAAGAAAGAAAAAGTTATAATCTTCTTCATCTTTTCCTGAAAGCCTTTTCAAATACAACCCCACCACAGCTTATGAAGCTCAAACATACTTGACAAGCCCCTCAGAATTCAGTAAACCTATACTCAAGTGCCTTGTTTTTATCTAAGAGACAACATAGCTGGTATGTTGGGCCAAACAAGTAGGGAGATTTCCCTCTCAGGGAATAGCCTTTTTTTTTTTTTAATAAGCAGCCAACAATACTCCAAGTTTGCCAGAAGTGTTATAGCTGACAGTTGTATATAAGTTTACAGCTTCATTTTGGAAAGGTGTCATTGCCTGATACAGAACATGCTGTGGTATGGACACTGCCACTTAAGGTGCTGTGGTGTTGTTAAGGACACAGGCAACAACAGGCTACTGCTTAATAAAGCAGAGAACTTAATTTAGGTGTTAGTATGACAACTAAGTTGTATTATTTCAACCAACCCTCATAGGTATTGAGAAGGCAGCAGTGGTTTTTGGGGAGAAGGTTCTTTTCAAGATTCAAACACAGCTAAGGAAATCCATGAGCTGTTCTGAGATGCTTTCCACATTCCACTTTTTTTTTTTTGCTAGAGCTCGCCAGCAGAGGCCTCTTCCTACATTATTGAGGGCTGCAGGTTCAGGTGTTACTGATAAACACCTCTTGGATTATTTTAAAGAAGCTGTGACTGTCAATAGTAAGGTTTTTCCTGCTAAGTTTTCCTCAGTGTGGAGGTAAGAATTTGAAGTTGAGTTCATTGTATTTCAGCAGATTCCTACAGGCACAGCAAGGGGCATGCAAGAGCAACACTGGGAAGAATAGGTACTTTCAGAATTCTATAGAGGAGCAGAGAATTGTCCCTCATACCTCATCACGTTATCATCAATCTGCATCAGGGATGTTGCTGTATAAAGCTTGCTCAGATCAGCATCTGACAGGCTTTGTGGCTTCTTCATGTTATCTCCAAAAAGAACTTGCCTGAAAGAGTAACATCAAGAATTACATCCAGACAACAAAAGGGCAGCAGGGCCTGTTTCAAGGACAAGTGAGTCTACCAGATCTGACAAGACTAGAAGTGGGCTACATATACGAGAAGGCTTTCTTGGGAACCAGAACAGCATATTTGTCCACTTCCCATTGCAGCAAGACATAACAGAAACCCTAGCAGCTTCCTCAGAGAAAAATGTTGTGCTGATATACTGAAAAACTGCATGATGGGGCCTCTAAAAACAATCTTCCCAGAACAGAGAGCACTAAAGGTATTTGGAATAGAGGCTGCATATTGGAGGGAGGGTTCTTTGGCTTCAGACCAAGCCTGTGTGTGGTTTGGGTGAGAGCATGAGCAGTCCTGGGCACACCATCTCCTCCACCATCTGGTCCTAAAGCCCCCCAGCACAGACATCAGCCTAGCTCACACAACAGAAATTACTTGGGGCATTACCTTAGCAGAAAGCTATTTACTATGGACACTTGTCATAACTAATTATTGCCCCCAGGAGAGAATGTTTCTTTACCAGAACAAACTTCTCCCCGAACAAACAGAAAAAAAGACACAAGTTGGAAAAGGGATTTTTATTCCCTTTCAGAGGCAGCTGCAGGGCAGAGCTACGTTTGATTTGGGGGAGCTGCCTAAGAGCACAAGTGATTATGGAAAAAGTTTACTTAACATACTTGCCTTCAAGCCAGCACTGGCTTTTTCTGGGTTACAAATTTAAGTGCCTTTTAATGGGAGCTTACCTAATTTCAGATGTTAAATTTCGTCAAGTTGTCTAAATATTTGTAAACCTGGAATGAATTATGTGGATCATCCTACATCAGCTGCCCTAACTTCTACAAGTGTTTCATACTGCACAAGAGTGTAAACAAAGAACCAAAAGTTTGAAGTGACACATGCTCTTAATTCAGTGGGTCTTAGATATTCCTCCCCTTTTCTCTCCAGTCAGGCATGGATGAGGTACTTTCTTGCCCTAGAAAGTACCATCCAGAGAACTTTTAGTGAGGGAAAACAACAACATTGAGTATTTCATCTGTTTAGTACACACATTCCTTTGTTATGTGAGAGACACGGATCAGATTGCAACAGCAGCACTTGCACTCCAGGAACAGCAACATTAAGTATTTTGCTGGCTACAGGCTCTTTCTAGAGGAACAGCTAGAAGCCAGAGCTACAGGTTTGACTATTTGCTTATTTGATAAGCAGCAGCTCCATACAGTAGATCTTGAAGATTAGTCCTACCTCAGGTAGGTGGCAGAACAAGAGGCTCCTTGAATAGGGAATTCTTTGGCTAGAAGTGAAACAGATGCAGAATACTCGACTTTGAAGTCTAATTGCAATGTTTTCCTGTGCATGTCTTGTTTATTCATTGAGCAAGTTTTCACAGAAGACAGAAGGACAACAAAGCCTTTCTTCCAACAAGAGGACCAAAGCTTATTTGTATATTTTACAGTACACTAATGAGGTTGACACAGGCTCCCCTTCTCTGTTGGTTCATCTAAAGACCAACCAAAAGAACTTTCAGGAGTCCTATTTTAAAGGACCAGGAAGACAAATCCAGTATAGCAATTGACCCAATCAATACCATCAGTGTAAATGATGCACTGCAGTACCTGTGAGAAAGGATGATCTTTTTCATGTTGTCTGCCATGAGAAAGTTATAAAATCTTCTACAATGATCCCACTGCATGAAGGTTTCCTGTGCCCTAGGAAAAAAACACAGCACAGAACAAACAAAGCTGTTAATGGAGATCTTGAAAGATCAGATTAATACACTGTTAACATCTCATGGCAGCTTGGAGGCTATGTAAACAAACCTCCAGGCCTTCCCCGCCACAGCTTAACCTTTTCCAGGAAATGACTTCCACTTCGATGAAGTTTGTTGGTATCAGAAAACAGATCTGCAGTCTCATCTTGCACAACAAAATTAGAAGTTTTGATAAGAGCATTTAAGAGCCATCAATCAAGATCCAAAACACTGACAAAGTATCCCTTTGCAGAAGTTGAATGTAATTTACATAATGGCACTACCAAGGAAAGGGCCAAAAACCCATTGCTGAACAGTGTTGCCTATTGTGCATATAGCTCTGCAGAGGAAATAATTTGTGCAGATGTTTCCAATATGTACAGACACAGCTTCATTGGCAGGAACTGTAAGAATAAATACTAGTTGCAGCTGCAAGTATCATCTGAATTGTCTTTACCTTTTCTCAAAGCAGAACAGCACTTCACAGCTTATCTGTTGTTAAAACAGAATTAAAGCCATCCAGAGTTCTGTGAGCTCTGCCAGATACCAGCACTCCTTTGCTATGCAGGGTCATGGGCAGGTTAGAGCTTTAGTCTTTGCAGGGTTTGCTGTTACTGAGGAAACACGCTATCATTTACCCAGAGACTGAAGAATGCTGGGAGCAGTTTCAGCTACTGAAGCACTTTACCACTTAAACATTAACATACTATAAGAACTGCAGCAGATTTAGCATGACCTCCCAAGCCATAACCAGCAAATCCCCTACCAGAGCAAGAGCAAGCTGTTCTCTTGTAGTTAGCAATGCCTGAGTATGGAATTTCTTTTAAAAAACCCCCACCGAACCTTCCAAAATCTTTTTGTTTAGCCAGACTATACCTACCACATTTATGCCAGGGCAGGGGAATGAAGGAAGACAGGACAATGCGCATTTCTTTCCTCACAAAACATTTTCCAAACCTACTAAGTTATTACAAGATGTTTGAAGTTAAAGCTACTACATTTCCCTGCAGTTCCTGTGGTGTACAGCAGTACTCCCAATATGAAGAGCTTGTAAGCATTGAAAAAAAAACAACCCACAGGCAGCTTCCTGTATTTTGAGGACTGCCCAGGTTTTAAAGCTGAAGTCTCTCCCCACAGCCTGTAGCTATGGAGATGATGCATTCCACAAGATCAAGAAGCAGAATCAAGCCTGTGCAGGCAGAGATTAAGGAATAAGGAGACCTGTCCCTGTTTAGCCTCTGGGAACACATTCCCCAGATTCTGTTAATTCATTAAACTAAGAGTCTCATTCTTCTGGCAAATCCTTGTATTGCTCTTGCTCTGGAAATGCTTTCCTATTTGAGATCCCTTGCTCACCACCATTTTTTTCCTTCACTTCCTAAAGTTATTTGGAGGATAAAGGCTGGACAAATCAATATAAAAAAATGGAATTGTAAACTAACTAGTCACGTCTACCAGGGTAATCCACTTCCACATAGCCCAGAAGGCTGAAGCCAGCTATTTTAATCTACCAGACCAGGCCTAGGAAGGCTAAGGCTTTAACCATTTACATGGAGGTGCTTTGTACCTCCTTCCCTCCCACTTCTATAACCAGGGCACAAGGCCTTCCCCCTCCTGTCTTTCGCTCAGTAGATGTTGCTTTCCCCTAATTCTTCAGCTAATTAGCACTTAAAGCAGCAGCAGATATTAGGTAGGGAGGCAAGACCTGAAAAGCCTTCCTGCTGGCTGACCAGTAATAGAGAGCAGATGTTTTGTGACAGGAGGTTTGCTAGGAAATGTTTACCCAGCAGGTGGAGGCAAGAGCTCAGTAATCCACACAACCCACCCAATACTTGCATTAAACTCATGGGGAAAAAAAACCAAACCAGTTGTTTTTCCACACAAATATCCAAGTGGAGTATTGTTAATCAGGTTGTCCTTGCCCTGTAAGCATAACAGCATTACTCTAAACATCATTTTGGAGACTAGAAATACAGTATTGCGTAATTGAACAAGATGAACCAAGTGGACCTCAGCCAGATGTTATTCCTGCAAACCCTGTCTGATGGCTGCAATTAAGGAGCTGGCTTCAAAAGGATGCTGTGTACTCTATGCCAGAACCCCAGGACAGCTAAGAACATTTTACTTGAAACAAAGCAGAACAGCTGTTCCTGCAGCATCTGTTCAGATTTAAAGGGTGTGAACTAGCAGCAGATTATATTTATTTTAGCAGTATCACATCTGACCTCAAAAGGGACTAGGTATGCTGGAATATTACATGTATATCAAACTTTTACTCTCATCTTAATGTTTCCAGAAAAGCTTTTTATTTTTACCTCTAAGAGCCTAATTCATAAAAGGCATCTTCAGACTGCTGAATATCAAACTGGTCCCTATACAGGCAGAGCATCAGCCTGTATAGGGAGTTCCAGCTACCTTGACCAGGCTGTGAGGCCAAATTCCATAGCAAGCTCCTCACAGGTCTGCCATAGTTTTCACCATTTTTATCAGTCCAAAGTATCATGAACCAAATACCTGAGTCTCAACAGCCCCTCTTGCCTTGTAAATAATCTCGTGGCTCAAAAACTGCAGTTAAATTACTGTAAAGTCAGATACATCTTAGTAGTTGTCCAAGTGTACAGAAAGTAAAAACTGAAAACAGCTGCTTAGCCAGTTACACAGGCTTCATTAACCGTGCATACATGGAGTAAAAAAGCACATTAGTTGAAGCACCAGTTTTCAAGCAGCAGCACTGTGCCTGGACCCTCCATCAGTACATGCAAGTGGAGCCACCACAGCTCCTGAAGTGCCACAGCCTTGGCTTCCATGGGGGGGAGACATTAAAATTTTCAGCAGATTCCAGGGCTATAAGCCTTCTCCTCCCCAACTTCTCACTTCTAGAACAGCTGCAAGTGCCCCTCCATCTCATCAGCCCACAGCACTGTTTCAGTGACACACACTAAAAGGGCAGCATGGACTGACAGTCCATGTGCTGTGTCTCTTTCCAGTCTCCCCAGGTAAGAGCCTCCAGATGGAACTAAACAGTGAAGCCAAACAAGCTATTATGAACCACAGGATACTTTTCAGAGTGATGAGACAGTGTAAACTATTGCTTGCAAACCTGGCATCAGCTCAGCAGCTGGTCACACTGCCCAGCCTGCCTGGTTAATTAACCAGGACTGCACAGGGAATGCCTCCTCTAGGGACACTGTAGCAATGAGACAGCACCACAAGCACAGCCCAGAAGCTGTCAGCATGTACCTGGCCAGGTACAAAAAACCTTTTTGCATTGCTGACAAGAAGTTTAAGTCTTCCCAATCAACAAAGCTTTAGCTGCTCCTTCGGGAGGGTGGCATCCTGCACACTGCAGTCTGTCACGCCAGGTCAATACAAGAGAAACAACTGTCTTCACTTTGCCCTTCCACATGTACCCTGCCAAGGATCTGCCCTGACGTGCACTCCCAGAAGAGACCAGCGTGGAGAAGCCTCCAGACCCACCTCAGTGCACTGTACCCCTGGCACACGCTGACACAGCACAGGACTCGCTCCTGGTTGGCCTGGCTCTCTCCCAGGTATTTGCACACTATGTTTCCACCCAGGCTGAAGCCCACGACAACCAGCTGGGTCTGAGGGTAGGTCTTCTTGATGTAATTCACCATGGCACCAAATTCCCAGGTGCAACCTAAAAAAAAAAAAAAAAAAAAAAGGACAAAGTTAAAGATTCATCTTCTTACATACTTAAATTCCCGCTTGAAGCTTCAGTTGCGTGCTTTGAGTTCAGCTTCTTACCCTTTCTGACTTTTCAATAGCCTTAAGGTTTTAAGAGCTCTGATTCACACATGTGTTCATACATCTGTTTGAGTCCTCTGGAGCTTAGTTCATGCTTAGTTCTGAGAGAGTGCCAAAGTAAGATGAAATTTATGCGCTTAAAAATCACGGAAACAGTTGATGTGACAATCGAAACTCTTCCTTTCTAAAACAGCCTAAAAAGCAGAGTCCAGCAACTCCAGGCTTGACACTACAATGGAAGAGTGCCATACCTCATTACCTTCCTGAGGCAGTTTGCCACTTCTGAAGTGGGCTATCTGGAAAGCAGTTCACTCCTTTGCTTTTAGCAAGACTGTCACGGGTCCCTAAATCCCTACTGATGTGGGAAGGGGATGTGGCTTGTCAGGAAGAGCTCTCAGCAGACTCCTGCAGAGCCTGATTAAGCAGGTGCCCTCTGGAATCAGGGGGAAGGGTTTCAGCAGAGACAGACAGCCCTTTGCTACCACCAAAGAGGTAAAGATAGTGCAGCTTTCTAAAGGACACATGGGTATCCCCACATCAAGGGAAGAGTTAGGTGTCCCTATATAGATCTATTCTGCTCTCAGCAAGTACCCATTTGGATCCCACAGGCTGCTGGGACCAAGGGGTCCAGTTTCTGGCATCCTCCAATTGTTTGACAGACTTGAAGGCCTCCACACCTGCAACATTTGAGTACCTTCAACTATTTCGCCTGCCTTTGAGTACGGGAAAAGGAAACATGGAGAAGCTACTAAACTGATGGCATTAGTACACTGATATCAACTATCTATGCACATTGTTAACTTCCTCATTGGATTAAGACTGCAAACCACAGAAGGCATCACATGAATAACAGAAATAAAACTCCAGATGTTTCTTGCTGTTTAGAGTCGGAAATTCAGCTCTACCCTGTGGAATTTGTCCAGGATAAATCCTGAGAGTTGGGATTCTACCCTGTACCAACCCAGCTATAGCATCCTTCCTAGACATCAGACTCTGGCTTTATCTACCTCTAGAGTAGACTCTGAACACCAGGGTTTGTATTTGTTTCAGTGGAACAGCATGCTCCTGGCTAAGCAATCTAGCAGGGCTTGGGCACTCCCTTGTGAACAGTCTTAATGAGCAATTTTCCTCAAGACAACAAAAGCTGCTTTGCTCTGGTTTCCTCTGGAAGAAGCCAGCAGTCAAAACACTTTAGTGGTTGACCTTCACGATTTCAGGGCAGCTCATAAATCCAAAGCTAGAATAGCAATGGGTCAAGCTTGATGTAGAGACTGGGATTCAGTGAATCCCAAATTTAGGCTGGAGGATTCAGCGAATCCCATATTTAGGCTACTTGCTCCTCAACAAATATGTCTGGAATACAGCAAAGCTAGAAGGACACTGTGTTATTTGGGTTGGAGGCAGAGTAAAGCCTGCTCATGGTCTTGCTGGCACTTTACTTAACAAGCAACTCCGCCAAGTGATTTACTCCGTTACTCAAAGGAAGTGCAATGCATTCCTTGCCTTTTCCAAGGTTATAAAAGACTCAGGTATGCCTCAACAGATGCACTATAGAGTAACTCCCTAAGGCCTAAAGCAAGCTCTCAACTTCTGTCAAAAAAAGCAAATGCTTTAATGAGGACAAGCTTAGTTTTGAAGACATAGTAGGATTGCAGCCACTAACAGCCTAGGGCCTCAGTACAAATGAAGGTACTTCGTACTCCTGAAGTGTTTTCCAAAGAGGAGTAGATTTAATAACTCTAAAACAAGCAATAAAGCATTACAGCCTATTTGCCTGCCAGACTCAGAATCTCAAAGCACAATATTTCTATTTTGACAATTTAACCACTCAAGATAACTATTCTAACTGTTAATTTAAACTCTAAGCAGTATCTGTCGTACTCATCTTAAAACCCAGCACAAGTCTGGTAAACCCACAATTGACTCCTGACAGTGTTCCTATATATATATTTACAGTAAAGAGGGACACAAAGGCTCAGGAGAGCTCAGGAACAAGCAGATTAGGTCAGAGGCAAAAAGGCCACATTCTACAAAGATCACATTGCTCATTAATAGGGCAGTTGAGACTAGCTGGAGTCACCCTTAACACTGTTCCAAATCCTTTATTTCTTTTCATTTCTAGCTCAAGAAAGACATCTTACTCAAGGTGAGAGCCCAAAATCATGGCAGTTAAGCACTACCATTTCTGTAGCTTTGCTGTCATACTCTAGAACTGTTGCTGTTTCTTCACATTGTGTTACATGCAGGGCTAATCCTCCTAGGACAGAAATGTACTTTCTGGATGGACTGGTACAAACTCCTCTTGGGTCACATTTTACAAAGCCTCAGAAGTAGCATTTATCCTTTAGAGACAGATTTGTTTCACATTCCACTAAACTGGCAATTTCAGCATCTCTAAAATCATTTGAGCAGGTTTGTGGTAGACCTACGAGTTCTTTTCCAGAAGTTTTCAAAAACATGCCTCCTTGATTAAAACATGTGTAAGAGCTGGCAGAAGAGCCAAGAAAAAATGAATTCAGTATTACTAGCCTCTCCTCCTTCTCCCATGTAAGCTCAGTTTAGTTCCTAGGAAACAGTAAGAAACTATCACCCTCATTTGGGTGCAGCAGTTGTGTTATCCTGAAGGAGGCTGATCAATGCCTAGAAATTCCATAAGCTTGAAAATAAGTCCCCCAGGTGCCATGAAATACCTACCGTATGTGAACATTCGTGGAGAAGTGAGCTCGATGTTTGGTAAGGCTCCCAGGTGGTTCAGGACAGCACATCTGTACCCATTTTTTTGGGCATAGTCGACAAAGGTGCGGATATACTGCTTCTCACTGTGGTTGGCAATCCCCGGGCAGATCACCATCGTGACATCCTCTGTGCACAGAGAGAGGGGAGGAAGTTAAGTAAATGTCACTTCATGCAAATGAAGAGGCTCAGAAGGTTTCCATTCCAGATCCGTGGGAAACCATGTACCACAAGCAAGCTAAAATTCCTACTAGTCTGCCAAAAATCCTGTACAGGACAGGAGACCAGCAGCTCCAGCACTACAGATGCGAAAAAGTAATTCATGTTATGGGAGATGAACGGCTTTTAACTTCAGGGAAAGCTGTGCAAACAGTTCTACAGACACTGCCTAGAGACCAAGAGTATATTCTTCCCTTTGATGGACATTTTTGACATTACACATATTCTGCCTTCTGACAGCCTGCTGTGACTGTGATGTGTGTGGAAGCTGGGGAGCCCAGTGCTCATTCATGCACCAAGTAGACTGGTTATGCTATTTTCCCCTCATTTCCCGTCCAGAGCTGGGTGTAATACAGATCTTTGAAATGAAGCTTTGCTAAGCACAGACATGCTGATCAGCTGACATTAACCATCATCTACTCTGTGGCTAATCTAATGATATTTGATCTGCTGACACTGCTCACTACTTTAACAAGATATCATTTCATCAATGAAGAAAGTAATTGTTGTAATTCAAGTAACCACAGTAAATTACATTCAGGATTAGCATATGCTCTTCAAATTAGCTATCACTCTCATGTGCAAAGCTCCAACATTACCAGCTCTAGCCACTGAATTTTTGCCTCATTAGAGCAGCATTGTTCAGATTCTCTTCAGCTACAAAGATAACAGTAACTGTTCTAGTGCAGCATTGCACCACGAGGATCTCAACACTGGCAATTAAAAAAAAGAAATCTGCTTTTTCCGAAGGCCAAATGGGAGTCGTGGGCTCTATCTTCATCCGTCTCCCAGAGCACAGAACCAAGGTTAGCAGCCAGCAGCTGTTTGACTGACCTCCAATGCAGTGCTCAGACCGTGGCTCAAAGAGATCAAATGTGGCTGTTGCTCCATCTGGCATCGTGAGGTACTTGCGGAGTCCATATGGATGTGGTGATCTCACTCTCCCCATTTTCCCATAAAGGGCAGTCTGGATATGTCCACTCTTTCCCCAGATCAGGGGTGGAATGTACCTGAAAGGCAGTAATTTAATTGCTTACCCTTGCTGTGTTAATGATCCTTTAAGAACAGATAAGCACTCCCATAACAAATCTCTCACCAGTTACCAAATATAGTAACAGATATGGAATTGTTTTTGCTATGACTGAACTGGCAGCAGTGATCTTTGCAGCCTTACACAAGAGGAGAGACCAAAATGCTCTCAAAGCTAAAAAAACAGCACCGATAGCAGCAGCAGCAGCAGCCAAAACCCTGACATTCTTCTATATTGAGATGTTAGAGGCACAAATGCTCCTCAATAAATACACAGAGACCTTGTGCCTCGGTGAGACTGGGACTCCATGTTGCCAGCCAACCAAAGTGACCTCTAGAACTGTAAAGTGTTGTAAATCTGTTTTAATTGAAACACTGAAGCCTGCTGGGTTGAGCCACATGACCTTGTGTAAGCACTTACCTGTACAAGCCAGTAGCAGAAATGACAGGATTCACAGCAAGTTTTAGAAAACTGAAAGCCCCAAAACTTGCTGGTTGGGACCATTTTACACAGAACTGCTTTACTAAGTTAAGCAAAGAGCACAGGACAGGTTGATTTTGCCTCTCAGAATTAGGTAAATTTAGGACAATTTTAAGAGACCCATTCAGAACTGGCCAAGCTTTGCTGAATAGAATAATAAGTCCCTTTCAATCAGAGGGGATCCTGAGAGATTAGCAACTTCCTCCAGTTATTCCCTTTGACTTCTTGAGACCACATGAAGCAGAGATCATGTTCTTCCCTGTCCACAGAAAACTAGGCATCTCAGGACTCAAATTCACTACTTAAGCCCATAATCCACTAGGAATGTGACTGAAACCTTACCTTTGTGCTCTGACACTACCTACTCACACAGCTGGACCTTCCCCATGCCAGTTCCTATGTGTCATATCCGCAACTCCCTCTTCCCCTGCACACTCCTTAAAAAGACTTCCTACAAAATAAGAACTATTTAGGCTTGTTTAGCAAGACAACAGTGGTAGTATGCTTCCTTCTCCCTGTTCTTTTCCCTCATCTATGAGGGAGACTTCTTACAGTCAAAGCAACACAGCAGTTCACTGTAGTTTCACTCAAATTTTTGCAAGTGCACTTCCCAAAGAAACCCAAAATAGATTCCTGTAGAAGCAGCTACCACTTCAATAAAGGTGAGCATCAGCTGGCAGCTTTTGCAGCAACCTCGTAAATTGGCCCTCAGTGCATCTTAGATTTGATCACTCAACTATAAAGCTTTTCAAAGGATCCATACAAGGCCAGTAGCACTACCCCTCTTCTGTCAGCCCAGCATCTCTGCACTGGGTCTTGCCAGGCACCACGTGCAGCTGTGCAGATTCCTAATGATAGGGACTGTACAAGCTCATCCTCTGAAATAGCTGGTAGAGGTGGAAAGTAGTCAGTGGATCCATTCTCACTATTCAGAGTAGATATCCATTAGAATAATGCAGTCAAACTGAGCCAGACTGCACAAGAACCACAGATGGTTCTGCTCAAGTCACAAACAGCTCAGTGAAGAGGCTTTGAACACAACTATTATGCCAGATATACTGGCAGAGACATTGCTCTTCTAACATAAGGAAAACCAGTGGCTTCACCCCAGTAGTTCCCTTTACCACCAGTTCAGGTCAGGAGCCATACTCCACACTACACTGTGCTTTGACTGCATTTGTGTTTTTTCCCCACAGACACCCTTTACAGATAAGGTTTGCCGGCTGCTTTTGAGGGGAGCTGACAAATACAACCCATAATAAGAATTTGTAGCTCTTTTAGAAGAGACGCAGATGTCAACATTGTTTCATGCTTTCCCACCTTGGGTTAAGCACATGCATTGTAAAGTTTTGGCAAGTCTGCTTCCATACAGTGCTTTTCAAATCAACGATTATCCCAAAATCTTACCCCATGGGGCTAACAGGGAAGCAATATCTCCAGCTACAGCAGCTAAGCTATACAGCTGTCACTGATTACTGCTACCATCTTGATAGAAAAAAAAAAATATAAGCCAAAAATCAAGGATCTCTGCAAGCACAAAACCTTTCCTCATGTTTAATCTACAGTTCAGTTTCCAGCTATAGGTTACAGTCATCCATTGGAAGAGATGCAGCAGCAGATACCACAGGATGTTGCTACAGAGGAAATGAGAAGTCTTCAAAGACTCACCACTACTGCCAGAGTTTAAATCAAGACAAAAGGCTTCAAGCATACTACTTACCAAGAGTGCACTGCTTACCAGTCTGCCTCCACAGATGGTTCCTCTGAGGAAAGAGACCCCCAAACCTGACTTTGAACAACCCAACTGGAGGTTACCTAAGTACTGATCTGCAATAACTCAAACCTTTATGCTACTTTTACGGGCAAACAGCACATGCAATTTTGTTGATACATTCTTCATTTAAGGTAGGAATCCCTGTGAGTATCCATAATGGACAAATGATACCTACAGTTTCCACATCTCCCTCAAAGCTTAAACTGTGTGAAGCCCTATGGACAAGGGAACACTCACTGTTGCTCCTTTCAGAGTGAACAAGAGTTTGAGCATCCTATGGACCAAGTAAAATGCTCAGCTTATCTTTTATGATGCTAACTTCAGTCAGCTGCTTAAGCATCACACTGCCCGCAGCAAAGATGGCTTGTGTTAGTCATTCTGCATGAAAATGCACTCTCGAATAAATATTTAAAGGTCAAGACTCAGCATGAGTAATGTGCATACTACTCTGATGCAGTTTTGTTACTCCTGTTTAGTAATACTTAAGCACGTTGTTAAGTGTATTTCTACAGTTTGCACTTTATTTTAAAGCAGTTAAAGCTCTGAAATACATCCAAGCCTTCAAGCAGCAGCTTATCTCACCAATAGTTTTGTTTAGGTCCATCAACCTCTAATCGACAGTTCCAAAGACATTTCCATACTCAACTGAAAAAAGCCAGTGCTGATAGCAATAGCTAGCACAGACTGTTTTGTAGTGAAGCCAACATTCCTCATGGCAAACAGCTGAAAAAGATGCTCCTCCAAAACAACATCCTGCAGGCAAGAAGAGCATGTACTCAGGGTATCCTTCTTGTGGCTTACCTCAACAAAACAAGCTCAACAGGATGCAACACAACCATGCAGGCTGAGCAACTAAGTAGTATTCATTCTAAGGCGCATTTGAGCACTGCCCTTCAGCATTTATGCTAAAACTATCACTACTGCTAAATTTAACCATGTCTTTCAAACAAGGGCCCTTCACTCAAAAGCAGTTGGCTTCCCTTCAGCATTGATAATCAGCAGAAACAGAGAAAGCGTTCAAAGACTTCAACTCCTCTATGTCTGCTATAAACCAAAGTGGTTTTGAAAAGCAGTGTATCATAGAGATTATTACTCCAGCACAGCAAACTTCCCCGTATGGAGATGACTCACTATGTATTCCTCAGTATCCTGTTCCAGTGAAGCTCCTCACAGATGTACAAGAGCCCAGGCCCAAACAGTGTCTATAGGCAGCATTTTCACTGTTCTGCAATAGTGGCTTATGGTGACAGAAGCTGAGCAGACAGCTGGGTGGTGAACAGCACTCAGGAAGACCTCTTGCCAAGACCTCCACACAAGGACAAGAATAATGTACCACAATAACACAGAGAAGCACGTACTGATAAAATCCAAAGAAAAAGTTGCATTGTGCTAGAAATGGATATTTTTATGCCTGTGAAGCAAAAATGGTTTCCCAGTTTGCTCCAGACCCAAAGGCTTTTAACTGACTCATTTTCCTGTTTTGATTTGGTTGCAATAGACAGCAGGGACTCTGGGTAAAGATAAATATTTGAAGCAGTTATGTCTTCCAGTAACCAGCCCTATAACTTCCAGTAAGAGGATTCTGCAACAGAAGGCAGACACGAGAACAGGCCTAGGGATGCAAGTTACTTATTATGGAAGCTGACTTATATGGCACAAAAGTACAGAGTTCAGTCTTAACTGGCTGAGTGAATTCACAGCCAGTTACATAAATCTGCTCACAAATGCTAACGTTTTAGCTCCAAATTTGCATTTCAACTGTGTAGCACAGCCCCCCATCTTGATAGGTGGCTGCACACAACAGTGCCCAACAGCAAGAGAATTCCTAGGTTTTCCACGAATATTTCTCCTAGCATTTTAATATTTAAAACAATTCCAACATGTGATTGTTGATTAAGTTTAGTGGCTCTCAGGCAGTAGATTATAATTTTAGAGCATGTACATCGCTCAGTATGCAGGAATTTAGGAAAGCAGCAGCTGTATAAGCAGCTCACACAAAGCACATAAAAACTGTGCTATTTTTATTAGCAAGCATCAGCATTCAGGTCCTCAAAGATCTGAAGTGGAAGTTCAGCAACAGGCTTATTTCTGGAACATTACTTCATTTCATCTGAGGAGATTAACACTTGAAACATTAACTCTTACATGGCCTTTGATGTGCTGTAGTACCTTGGATACTGATGGTGAGAAAACAGAGCCTACAATTTGTCCATGTCAGGACACCCTGAGAACTGCTGCCAGCATTACAACAGGTGACAGATTATTTCCCCCCCCCTTTATTGAGCAGTTTGGAAGTATTTAAAGAATGCTTTACAAAATCAAACTTAGTTTGAACCTTGTCCTTTACTTGATGCGAGAGAATGCACTTTGAATTCTGATCAAGAAAACTCATCTAGAAGTCTGCAGGGTTCAATCCCCTCCCACAAATATATAGAAAGCAGCTTTTTCTGCATCAGCTCATCTAGGCTGCTCAACGTGATGAAAACAGAGCAAATATGAAACAAAAAAAATTTAAGCAGGTTAAGGAGCTTCCATGTCCCCTGAGCCTAACAAGTGGAGTAGAAGTGTTTGCTGCCCATAGAAACTGTATGAAGTTAGAACTATTTAAAAGAACACCTCCTTCACCATTTAGGCAGCTTTTATTTAGAAAAGTGCCCAACACACCCCTCCTCAACCTTCACTGACTACAGAGAAGTATTTTAGTCAAAACAAGGCATGAGGATTACAGCACTTACAGTCTTCCTTCAGAGGGTGAAGGCTTTTTGATGATAAGAACTGGAGAACAAGGCTGCTGCCAATGCCACAGCACCCAGCAAGAACTCAAAACCCTGAGGCTGCTTCTCTCCCCCAGGTTAACACTTCAATTTACCAATAGGGAGCTGCCATTCTCCTCTACCTCTCAGCACGTTCACCTGCCAAAGCTTCAGGGGTAACACTGTTGCTCTAGTTTATTATTCTCCTGGAAGTGTTCCTCCCAGGGTAAAACACCAAGGAGTTGACAGGAATCAAACACTCCTTGCTATTAGGAGGAAGAAAAGAACACTGAAAAGCTTGAAGACAGCTTTTCTGACTACTTGTCTCCTTGCATCCAGGAGAAACGCAGTGACAGTGCAAAGGAGTCTTCTGGTAGCCTACTTATCCAGTATAGGTTAGTGTGCAAACAAAGGATAAGAAGGATCTAGGCTGGATCTTTGACAGTGTTTACTAACAGGCTTGACAGTCATTTGCTTCAATCTTTGAGGAGCTTGCCTTTATTGATGATAAAAAGTGTGCAGACAGTAAGGATAATTATTTTCGATAGGGATGACACGTGCCACATCTCTACAGAAGTAAAGATACACACACTTGATGGTAGAATAAATTGTAAACAGCCAAAAAAAGTCTAGCCTACTACAGCAAGCACTGGCCAAATTTATCCTCATGAATCAAAGAGCCAACGCTGCATTTCTACAGGAGTAAGAGCAGATGAAGGACTTTCCGCACCCATTTGAAAGACAGGAAAAGGAGACAGCTGCAGCCAGGGATTAGGCCCAAGGGCTCGAGAGCACCAATAGCTGGGCTGATTTGCAAGAGCTTCCATGCAAGAAGCAGCAATTTGAATGGAAAAGGGTCTGATTATACTACTCCACTTGGCAAGTCAAAGTACAAAGCTGGACAGGGCAGAGGAAGGGAGACAGAGGTAAGAAAACGTGAGCTCTAGGAAGACATTCTCTTGCTTACCAGTGTTTGCTAGATAAGTAGAAAGCTTCTAGCAATTTAGAGAGCTGTAAAAAGCAGTACTAACGTCGGCAAGTACAAGGTACCTGGCACGCAGCCATCTCAGGCAGTTTTACAATTCAAAGTTCCTAAATTATTCATCTACCACCACTTGGCTTACTGAACAACACCACAGTTACAACGGGTAAGTCCATAGGTGAGGATGGTGCCATAAAGGGAAAATAAAGTCCAAAAATGTTTTCTCCAAGTACTTTTGAACACCTACACAGATAGAATAACTTTGCTTATTTCTGCTTTCTCCCTGCCACCCTGTTTTTCCCAGCAGTACCCTCACCCCTTCCTCCATGAAGCTAAGGGAGCTGAACAAACCAGGTCTGAAAGCCAGTTCACAGCTGTGAACATTCTTCTGTAGAGAAGAATTGGTCATATAACAGATCTGACAACAAACCCAGTACTGATATAACAAAAGGGATTGCTGGGCTACTTATTTTGCTTTCATGGTAGAATTTGAAAAGAGCTGCTTAATCAGCTTTCCTAACACTCTGAATAATTAGCAAGTAATCAAAGCCTTGCAAGATTTTTCAGTGGAGTATGGCACAAGCTGTTTTCACACAGCTTTTTGCTAATTAGTCCTGCAAACTATTTCATGCATAATTGCAGGAATTTAAATATATTTGTTCCACTTTAGTCCCCAGGTGACTTTCATGCCTAAAGACAGGATTTCTTTGATTATTTTTTTTTAATTTCTGTATTGAAAAAAGTCCATGATAACATCAATAGTAAGAAAAAAACTCACATATACATCATCTTAAAGCTGTCTGTCCTGTAAATCCTTTCAATCCCCAACAGCAATTATATTCCTGTCTTCCTTAACAGAGGTACAGCGGTAAGAGGACTGAACAACTACCTATTGACACATTGTTCTAACTTGTTTCAGCTGAGTTTGCTTCCTGGGGTCATGGAAACCTTTCAGACAATATTCTACGCAAGAACCATGTATAGGAGATCGCTGCTGCAGCTTTCAGAGAAGTTGGCAAGCCTGAGCTCAGCTGATCCAGAGAAAACAACCCACAACTGCACATTATTAACACAACACCAGGGTTCTGCAAGCAGCTCTTCACACCTGCAATTAATGCACAACAGATGTCTAAAAATTGCAGTACATGTTCTGCATTTTCACTCTTCGGGGTATGGTTTGTTCTCCAACTGAAAGTCAAAAACATGGCTGTAATACAGTAATGCTAAGAGCCTGTGCTGTGAGAAGAGCTGACATAGGGGTAATATGGACTCTGAATTAGCTTCCAATCCATTTCCAAAGATTAGTTGATACTAATATGCCTCCAAGACTGGTAATCAGCACAGCTTCATGCCTTCTCCTTCAGTGACTATGTCAATCTGGACTGCTACACTGAGATGGCAAATGTCTAAAGGTACCAAGTAACTTGAACCTCCTTAATGTATTTTTGAGGTACGTAATTGCTTTGCAGTTGAGGGAGTGGACACAATCAAGAATCCAAACACACATTACTGCCAAACCTGGAGTGCATCACAGAACCCTCTTTGGGTTCCAATTTAAAAACAGATAATGCTTTGTTTCCTCTAAAAGTTTACAGACCCCATGGCCTCATATCTTACACCTTATATAATCAAGGCACCCAACACAGCACTGCTAAAAGCCTCTCATCTCCCCTAGAATGACTATCCTTAAGTCAGTTTGACTTTTGAGATCCAAAAGGAAAGTTCATGCAGCTGCACTGAGCACTTAGTAGATAATTGATGTATTTAGGGCTTCTAAATAGGACTTGCAAGTTTTCAAAGTGATTGCAGAAGATAAATACTGTAATCAAAGTCCTTGTCCCTCCAAAGGCTCATGAAATTGTACTAAATGCTTCCTATTATTGGTGAAGGTTACTGGTGAAGATAAGAGCTGCTGCACTGATTCTGGAGGTCCTAGAATGGAGGGTCAAGGATCAGTCTGCTCAAACACACAGTTGACATAAGGTCAATTTGAAGTGAATGCAACAGCCTTAGAGCTGGCCAGTATGTCATCACTTGATTAAACTAGTTATGATGTGCTCTACCCAGTAATACATTTAATTAGTTTTCAATCAACTTAAGGCACTTCAAATAGGAGTAGGCACTTTAAAACTAATAGCCACCCCTGTGTTCATTATAAGCACACTCACACAGCATAAAAACCATTTCCTCCCTGTGACCCCCAACAGATTTCCTCCCTAAGAGAAAGGAGTACAAGAACATGAACAAGTGCTGACTGCATCCGTGGAGAGCCCTGCACAACAAGGGTTGGTCCTAACTCCAGGTACCTGGGACACTAGCAATAATGAAATGCTTGACTTGGAACAGGTTTATTTTATCAAGATTGCACCCTGCACCAATTTATTTGCACCCAGGTTTAAGAAACACACTAGGCAGAAGAACAGATAAGTGCAGCTCTTATTCCCATAATATAGGTCAACATGGAAAAAATGTACTTACTCTTTGGTCAGAAGTGGGCATGATTTGAGTAGAAAGCGGGCCAAAGCAGAGTCCTGGTAAATGAGTTCAGGAGGGGCAGTTGGGCTTTTTAAATTCAAGCAGCGAACAATAACATACAGCACAGCAGCAACTGCAGCCAGCTTCACCCCATCAAACACTGCTGGCAGCTCAGAGGTTTCCAATATTGCACTCATTTTGAGCCTGGAGATAAAAAAAAAATATAAAAGCTTTTAGAAATATACTGTTGGATGTGAGTATCAACTGTCATGTAAAATACACAACTGTGCTAACCAACTAAATTTGTTAGTCAACACTGCTAAGAAATCCTAGCATATCAACTCAGACTAGCAACTTTCAAGATGAAGGGAAATTTATTTGGTACTGGTCTAAGCACCCTGATCAACAGAAGAAATAGAAACTGGGTGATCAGCTGGGAAGGAGATTTATTCCTAATCAGTGCTGCATTACAATTGCACCAGCATCTCAGGTGTCAAGCCCTGGTCTGCAGCCAGTCAATGCATTCAGGATCTTGCACAAGACTACCCACAGCTCAAACAGAAGCCAGGTGAAAAGTCAGTCTATAAAGACACCTTAGCAGCTTTGGATGTGTGTTTCTTCACAGATGTACAAGACAGACTTGAAAATGAGAACCTGAAAGAACTACTGTGCTAGCTCCTCAGCCTGAGCTTTACAATTCCATGAGAATACTGGTACTAAACCCTGCCTCTGTTTAAGGTGGTCACTTTATGTACTGGCAATTTCAGCATTTCTTTTAGTTCACTGTAGTTCTGCAGCTGAAGGACTAGATTAATATCTAGTCTTTCAAGGACTTCAGAGTAAAGGAACAGAGGCAGGGAAAAGAACTAAAAAGAAAAATATATCCTTCTGGCTTGAAATCAAGTTTTTAAACCGATCCAGCTTTTTTTGAACACACAGTTCAAACAGCTGGCTGCAGTTGCTGTTGAAGGGGCAGGTTTTTCCCTGGGTCTTTCCTCAGTCATATGGGTAACCCAAGTAAGATATCGACTGACAAGCCAAGTCTTACCAATTTCAATTTTTCCTCAAGCTAGAAAAAAACCTGCTGGTCCTCAGTAGACTTGTCACCTTCTGGATCCACGTGCTACAGGAGTTACCCTGTGAAGGGAGGAAAAGCAAATTGATTATTACTGATAAAGCTGCATCTCTCAGCTGGAGATAAACACAAATTTATACTAAGGTCCCACCACAGACATTACTAGTGATTTGTGTAGTCAGTCATAACCACTTCAACTCTGATCCATCTACATCAGAAATCTCTTGCCCGTGGACAGATTCCAGACTAGATCACTTGCCTACAGCATATTAATGCATTTGCAGTGTGTAAATACACCTTCACGAGCAGAGACAGACCCCATCTCTGCAAGACAGTGTGGCATTGTACCAAATTAGAAAAGCTACCCTAATCCCTTTGTATTTAAAACACCAGAATTAACAGGATGCTGTTTTACTCAACTTTCTGCAATATCTACACTGTTACTGAAGTGTGAAGCCAGACTGAAAGAAGTTTCCTGCTACTTTTATTCAGGCTTAGCAAGGCAGCTCACTCCTACAGATGGAAGCTTGTAAACAGTCTCTGCTTGTTCCCACACTTGCTTTTTGAGATGTTACAACATATCACACTTCAAGACCTTGAGAGCCACAGGAGGCTCAGACACAGCCACCTAATTAATACTAGAGCACATGCAAGAAGGCTTGTTACAAGAATTTGATGATGCCAATAAAGGACAGAGCTTTCAGCCTGTGACCATAAAAGCGTAAGTGATATTTACAATTAGAGTTGGCTTCCTACAGGCACAACAAATCGATGGGGAATCAGAGCTTCCAGGAAAAGCTCCAGAACTGTCTGCTCCCTACCACAGCTGCTGCTTCCAAATGGAAAACACACCACCAGGACAGACCATATCAAAGCTTTATTCTTCCTAGCAGGAATGAAGAGCATCAGAAGTACTTTCTGTACTCAGTGCAGCTACACCAAAATCCCTTGGAAGAAAACACAAATGACATCAGCTATTAACAGCGTGCTGAAAAGCTGCAAGTTTCTGCCACCATAACCATATGCATCACAGAACAGAAGGTGAGGAAAGAAGAGACATTTAATTTTGGACAGCTCTGAAGCTTTTATTTTCCAATTCTGAGCTTCACCGTAGAAGGGAGCAGAGTGGGCCACAAAAAGACATCTACTCAGAACATTACGTTGGCATCACATATCTCAATGAAGAGTTCAAGTAAAATGTTCAGCTGTATCACGTCCATACTTAGTATATTTTCACCAACCCTACCATCAGTTGTGTAGGAGACAACAGGCAAACTACAGAAATGGCTTCCCCAGGGAAGGTACAAGTGGCAGAAGAGCAGACCAAGTTCCTGAACTCCAGGACAACCAGGTGCTTGAGCAAACCTTCCCCAGCTGAAACTCCCAGGAGTTCTGTTGACATATTCCTTTCATTGTTTTATTAAGAAAATTATGAGACACTAATACAAGACTTATCCCAGACCTTCCTGCCACCTGGATTTTAAGCTAGTTTGCCATTTACAGCTTTCACCTTAGTGAATTTGTTAAAAATAAAGCTGGGCACAATTAGTCATTAGGATTTTGTACTAGTGATTCAGTGTAACTGATCCAGCTAAGCCCTATCTCCCTGAGAGTGCTCCCTCCCATATAATCTTCCGATTACAAACACACCACGTCTTTTCTGATACTTTTAGATCTCATTTTAGCCTGTCACTCCCTTAAAACAGCTTGATATTACTTACAGAAAAATCAGCTGTTGGTAGGCAGGATTATGCTCTGACACTTGTGAACTAGTACTTTTCCATTTTAAGACAGTCTAAACACACATTCACTGAACTTACGCACCTCAAACATGTGCTAGAGGATCATGTACTTGTCAGGATCTTTACCCAAAAGCTCAGATCAGTCTGTAGATGTAACACAAAGCTGGCACTGCTGCTGCAGTTGCACAGGTATCTGCAGTGATTATTTAAGCAATGGATCTAAGTCCATGAAGACTAGATTGGTAAACTCCAAGCCCTATGGATCCAGCTGTGGCACTTCAGGTAATTCCTCTACAGTCTGGTATTTCTGAAGACCTAAACAGACCTGTCTTGGCCAGGGCAGATTTGCAGGGGCTGAGTCAAGGCACTCTGCTCTAAAATTTCAAGGGTTTAGCTTAATAAAATGAATTTGAGCTCTGCCTCTAATCACATCGGACAAATGCCTCCCTCTTTACCAGCTGGGATAAGGTCACCTTGCTTCTGTTTTGTTAAACCCTTTTTGCATTGACCCAATAAACTTGTCTGTTTACGAAAAAGGACAGATAACCACAGTGTTGAGCCAGACAAATTTTAATCTAGAATATCCTCTAACAGGGTCAGCATTAATTTAAATGGACAAACATTTGGTCCCTTCTGTATGCAGAACACTGCAGGTTAGACAAAACTAGCAAGAGGCAGTAAGTGTACCACTGGAAGCAATCAAGCCTGCCTGTACATCCATCACAGGGTTTGAGATCCACATTGAGAAACACAAAGAATTTGAAACTCTTGGCCCCAAGGATGTTATTTTGAAGAACCTTACACTTTTTTTTTAAAGAATCACAGGCATGACAGCCCCCAAGACCAACAGCCCTTTTAAGCAATGTTCTTAAGTCCCAATTGTGACCGAGAGCTAAGTTTAAAATCAATCACTGGAAAGCAAGTGCTGTATTTGTGGTCTTTTCATTTCCCCTTTTATCACAAAAAGCTGAAAATCATGTTGCAGGAAACATTTCAGCACTACTGCTAGAGTGCACTTCACCTGTACAAGTACAATGAGAAAAAACCCCCCATGTCTCCCCCCTTTCCAGACAGGAACAGAAACAAGTACAACAAAAGCCAGTAGAGCTACAGTAAATTCCTTACTATCCTTTCAAAGACACTAGGTTTTGGAAGAGCCATCAAAATATTTACTTGTATAGTAAGTGAATTCACAACTGTCAACAAATCCAGGACCTGTACACGTTTCAGTTACAGGCTTCCTGTGGAGAGGAAACTTCCAGGGACAGAAGTCACTTCATGCTGTGACTCAATGCAGCACAATCAGGATTTGTTAACTACCAAGCATTACAGCTCCTCCACCCATGGAAGCAGAGTCTGACTGTGCATACTGGAAAGCCAACATTAAAAAAGCAAAGACATTAAAGGAAGCCATTCCCACAGGGTCCTTCCTTCAGGCCTTTTAACGAGCCACTGAAAGCCTCATTTCACTAGAAATGCTTCTGGCTAAAGCAAAGATGCAGCTATATGGAACAGACAAGAGCAAAGGCTTCTCTGAACGGGACTCCACTAGCAAGATATTTTATGCTCCATTACATTGACTGAAGAATCTTGAAGGAATGCCATTTTCAGGAAGGGCAGCTCAGTACAAAAGCCTCATAGCTGCCCTCCCACCAGTCAGCACTCTGGCTCACCGGTGCTCTCAGAGCTCAGCTGGACACCAAAGTGAAGCATGCCTGGCCAACACTGAAAGTCTTTAAAAATCCCCTTTCTTATGCTTTTACAGCTTCCACGAAGTAGTGTAATACTCTTACCCACAAAGATTCAGAAGAGTCAAAGAAGCTGCTTCTGACAGACTAAGCAGACAGACTTTGTTAACTAACGCACCACACATTTCTTGGACTGGTTTAATATATTTTTAGTGTCCACCTGGGGAATAAAACTCAAAGTAAGTATGTTAGACAAGAGAAAAGCAAACCCACCCTACTTTAAGAGTTGTTCCTAGGCAGATCAGAAGTAAGTTTTTTTTACCATTTCTTTGAAGGGCAAAGGAGGATGGCTGTTTCACTGAAATTAGTTCTTTGGGGAATGTTTCTAGGAAATTAATTGTCTTTAATATCAACCAAACCTAATGCCTCTTCTGAAAGATACACTGCAAAACCAGAAATTACAGGCCTGTCACTGCCAGGTTAGATATTTAGAACCATGTTATGGAGAAGGGAACTTTATTAAGGAGAGGTTTGAAAGCCAGAGCAGTGCATAGTTTTTCAAATAAAGGCAAGTTTTACGCTTATTACTCAAATCTCACTCCAGGAAGTGTACAGAAATGTCACATCATTGAGCATTCAATGGGTTTCAATGCAGAGGAAGATGTCTTGAGACCATCCAGATGAAGATGAATACACCTGGGAAAGGCTCTGAAGCATGTGTCCTGATGGGAAAGGCTGCCAGACTTTTTGTAAAGCACTGGAGGGCAGTCTGAAGGCACACAACCTACACAACTACAGGAACCTGTTCAAGAGGAATCATGAAGAAAGCCTCAAGCTTTATTGCGCAGTCCCATATCCTCCCTTTTACCCAGCACTTGTATAAAAAAATGATTTCCTTTTTATGGAAAAGTGTCAAGTCTAAACTGCTACTTTGTTTCAAGAAAATTAAATAGATACAAGTATTTTAGGGCCACGCCAGCAACTATACCTCATCAGCTTAAGCACACAAAGCAAGTCATGACACCACTTATCTTGAGACTGGCATGTACCCAGCCCAAGCTTATCCAGAGCAAAACCTCCCATAACCTTTGGTGGTGGCTTAAAGAAAAACATGTGAAACAAGTGCTGAGATCATCTTGATGCATCACTTGGTTCTTCTGGCCATTTCAAAGAGCCAACTAAGTCTCAGACCTCAGAGCAGAGAGGGTATAATTAAGAATTAGCTGAGCACTTCAAGCACTTAAGCTTAGGGTTAGATGTGGCCACGAGAGATAAAGCCCAGTCCTCAGGAGTCCAGCAAAGCCCACCATGGTTTTGTTGTCTTATATGTGACAGATTTTATCTCCAAAGAGGGCACACTGACATGTCCCCTCACAAGGATGCTTAAAAGAACACTACTTGGAGAGCACGTGGAAGTCCTTGGTGCAAATCCCTCCACCTCGTGCCAGAGCCTGCACCCAGGCCAGGATTTGGCCTGTTGGCAAGTACAGACACCAGCAAGTATTGTTTACACCCTGTTCCAAAAAGAATTTCTTGGCTGGTGCCTTCACTGGAATTTGACCTTTTCATGAATTACAATACTTGGCTCATACTAAGTTTAGAGGTACTGTGAGGTTATGGGGATAAAGTTCCCAGCACAAGGCACCATCAGCACAGAAAGACAGGTGCGTTTAACTGGAGCCTTTTCCTTTCTGACTTTGAGGAATCCTACATCTTCAGAGCAGAAATCAACCACCTAAGAGGGCTGGGTGTATACCCCAGGCAACTTGCCTAAGAAGCACCTGAAAATAATTCTACAGCCAACAGGGCCAAAGGCACTTTAGGTCCTTCAGTTCTCCAAAAAGGGCAATTTACAGTCAAATGAGCCTTGAATTTCACTTCCTTCCAACTACAGGAACTTCCTTTGTTTCTTCACAATATCATTTTAGCTGATCAAAAATAGTTCAACTGCCCCATAGGCAGCTTTTGTGTATTACTCAAAGAGGTTGCTCTGTGGACTGTGTATGTTGCCTTATCTGGTTCCTCTGTCTCAGGCAGATTGAAAACCACTGCATTAGCTTTTATTGCACAGCCCTGATGAACATGATTAAACTAACACAGAACAAGGCTCTGAGTTCACAGAAATCAATTAATTGCAGTAATCAAATAACTATGTTTGCTTAGATAACATAAGCCTTTCCTCTAAGATAAGATACAGAGACTTGGGACCGTCACACCCTGACCACTACCTTATGGAACTACAGGGCAAAGCTTCAGCTTCTTGTACAAGAGGTCAAGCTTACTTCTACATACAGAGAGAAACACTGGGTAACACCCTTCCACAGCCTTACAGCATTAGCTGCTTATCACACAACCCTGTGCCAGCGAGCAGCATCAAGCTCAAGGGAAGAAGTGGAGTAAACAGGCTGTAGAGAACCTGACAATCCATGCTCAGTGGTTGAGGGAATGATCCCAGCATCAAGCCATAGAGCTGGGAGAGCTAATAAGAACTACATTACAGACCAACATCCCCAAGGAGTCTGCTCTATTCCCTCACTATATTTTGAAGCACAGCATCATATTGTTAAAGCCTCATTTACCCTCCAACTCCAACCCCTCCATCCCCAGTCACAGAGCTCAGCTGTTCATACTGGAGGAGCAGCTCAAAGTCCAAGCACATCACAGCTGTTTGCTCAGCCACAGGGTGCACAGACAAGCAAATAGGGAACATGGTCCACACCAGATCAGCTGCACAGCAAGGAAAGACCACTTATCCCAAAGCACAACACAGGTAAGAGAACTTTATTCAAGACTGGTCCAGTTCAAATAGTCTGAAAACACCTATATCTGAACATGATCCAAAGCTGAGGTGCCACTTGACTGAGGCCTTTAAACACCTTATTTTTTTTCCCTGACGAGCAGCTCCTCTCCACTGGGGAACAGAAGATTTGCAGAGTCATTCTCTCAGAGTCTGTCCATGACTGATAGAAGGCTCACACCAGAGAAGTCCAATTCATGTAATGACATTGAAAATGAAGCAACAACATTTCAGGACAGAAGAACTACATACAAAGAGACAGGACCTGACCAACACACAATTACCACCACTGCCAAGTACTCGGGTTCTACCAGAATGCCAACTAAAACAGTTACCAGCAGCTACATTGCCCTCTCTCCTGCTGAATTCCAAGTGAGAGGCTAGGGATATTATAGGCATACATCTTAGGACATTTTGTCCTTACCTCTTACAAGGACATTCACTGTAAGTGACTGTGCATCTGCTTATTTCACTTAGTGCAACCTTTCATAGTCACATATGTCCAACCTTCACAGAACTGGGTGTTCCAGTTAAGGGACAGCCAGGCTTGAACACCTTCAGCATAACCTTTCTGGAACCTGCAGCTCTATGCAAAAGCATCTTTGAAGATTTAAGTTTAGAAGCAGGACAAACTATTGAAGAGTGACCCTCTCAACAGCAGTCTTTTGTCCCCTTTTGAGGAGTCTGTACTACACTTTCTGAGGACAGAATGTCCTGAATAGGGCTGTATCTCAGTTACTTGAAACTAACACATAAGACATTTCAGGATGGTCTTTGCAAGGGCTCAGTCCATATTAGTAGAGGAAGTTGTCACTCTCATTTATTTTAGTCAGATCAAACCCACAATGAAGGGAAACAAGTATTTCTCAACAGCAGAGTAAGTGCGAGGCAACCGCACTTCTTGGTCAATCCAGAGACACAGATAAAAATCTGTACCCTGGCAAGTGTGACACCTCCTTCCGCTGCCATCACCTCTAACGGAGCACAGGCACAAAGATGCTTCAAGCATCTGGTTTGTACAGAACTGCTTTGCAAAGCATTTTGAATTATCGCTGCCTGATAATGGCAAAGCAAGGTTGGCAGTCAGAGACAATCTTTATTATTAAGTCAACTGATACAGCTGAAGAAAAGACAAGCCCTTGGGCATACAAACCTTCCCAGAGCCAGGACAGGCTGAGTTAGCTGCCTGACTGGGTTAGCATCACTGCCACCCACATATGTTGGGCAAGTGGGACTTTGCTTCTCCACAAGAAGGACAATGTGCCCTTGCACACTGAAATTAAATCAACTGTTTGGTAGTGCAGTCAGTCAGCTGAGTTTGATCAGTTGTTTAACTGTATATAAACTTAAACTTTGCAAGATATTTAGGCTGAAGAAGGGCAAATATTTGCACAGAAGATCAATTGTTCTGTAGCACCCTAAGAATAGCAATTCAGAGCTATAACACCTCATGAAACACTGTTTCAGAGAAACTCAAAAGCAAAGATGAAGACTCCAATATACTAGCAAAACTGTGATTATTTAGGCTTTTGTTGGAGAGTCCAAACCACCAGTTTCAGGCTGTACCTTTCAATAGGAATTATAAGCACCCAGCTTATTATAAGATCCCAGCACTTACACCCCATCAGAGACTTTGCTAAACCCTGTTCTTTGTTAACTTATTCCAAGTTCTGGTACTGCCAGAGCTGGCAGTGTGAAAGTAGAGACGAGGAGGCAAGAGATACAGAGCGAAAAAGGGGAATAACAGGACAATGCGAATCCAGCAGCACCCAGGCCATTTCCATTATTGAATGAGGTTAAACTACAGAAGGTTTGAATCACTGCTCTAAAGCCATCATTTCCTGCTGTGCACCAAATCACACCTAGAAGTACAATTGGAACTTAGCAGGTTCGGACAACCTGTGTCAAGGACAGAGGATGCTATTCTGCCATCTTTTTTTCCCAGTGCCACATCCCAGAACAACTATTTCAACATGTTAATCTCTGCGTTTTCCCATGGCAAGTTTAATAAAGCAGCTTTATGAAACACTAAGAGCTTAAGCTGCTATTCATTCCCTGAATAGAAAAATATAGCTTTTATGAGAGTAGAATAAATTAATTTTCAAGTTTAACTTCTTTAGAAACAGTTGTGCACGATGGAAGGACTTATCCCCAAACTCTCCATCTTCTCCACCCCTAAAAAAGACAGTTTGGCACAATCTTAGATCAGCCCCACCTTCTGTGCAGCTAATTCACTCAGTAACATAGAGGACCTCCTGTGGAAAATCAACTGTTTTTAAGAATAAGGCAAGAGAATAGAAGAACCCAAACATTAGCTCTGATTTCCCTTTTAATAACCTTACTCTTCTTACTCTTGACTTTGAGACCAAAATAAGCCATGCCTCAAATAAGAACAGCTGCATGTCCACTGATCCAAGAGACAGGAGAACCCATTGAAACTCCTCTTGTGAAATGAGAACTAAGCAAACACCTAAGAGAGGACACAGACAAACCAAGGAAAGATAACACAACAACTGAAGACTAGCTGTCAATAACAAAACTCCCTGCACAGGAAATAAACGCTATCGAAGAAAGTCTGAAGATGAGATATCACAAATGCAAACAGCTGAACTAAGCGTCTTACGAACACCATATCAGCAGGGACTAGAACATGTCAACCTGAGCAATATTACAAATGCAGCTGAGTGTGATAAATAAGGCCTGTAAGATGAATACACTGTACCAGTTAGCTGACTAACAAGCCACTAACATTTGTCACAGAATGAGGCACCAGTGCTGTGGAAGCCGAGCAGTAATCTGCAAGAGGCAGACAGGAATCTTTAGTGCTTGCCAGGCCAGTGACAATTGTACATCAACAATAAGAGGAAGCTGTTACGAATTCTCTGAGGAGACCTGCATGAAAATGCAGAATGCAATCCCTCCAGCCATAACTGCGTGAATAAAGCTACTGCTGACACACCTCCTCAAAGAAGTTAGTGTCAGGTGAGGGATTTCATCAGCTGTAACAGATGCACCTACCCACCGTGAGCTGGAGGAAGTCACGAGTTACACGTGAAGGTGCAGAAAGGAGCAATCCCATCACACAGGCTGACAAGCAGGTACATGGTACCTAACAAAAGGGAGTCTGAAGCTGATGCGAGATGCTCCTAGCGGGGTCAGGACCTTGGAGCACCAGAGAAGAGGCCGTTTGGGGGAACAGTGTGACCTGGCAGCCAGAGGCACAGCTGCCCTGGCTCTAACCCACACAAGGGCCACCCTCTGCTCCGCACTGAGCTCCCGATAGCATCCCACCCCGGCCTTCCCTCCCTGCGAGCACAGGGATGTGCAGCTCCCGGCCCAGCTTCACACTCCCAGGGAGGGCAGGGGGCGGCTGTCACCGCACCGCCAGCCCCAGAGCTTCCACCCTCGGGGAGAACCGGACGCCGAGGGACACCCCACCTCGGCCCCGGGCAACAGACATGCGAGGACAACGCACGGCGGCTGGGCAGGGCGAGACCCGGCCGCGGGGCAGCCCCCTGCGGCCACGCACCGCCGGGAGAAGAACGGGAGGGAGACTCGGCCACCCCCCGAGCCCCGCGGGAAGATGCTCCCCGCCTCACCTGCAGGCTCTGCAGGGCACACAGCCCCCTCCGCTCCTCCCGCCGCCGCTCCCGCCCGTCTGCCGCGGGCCCGCCGCCCGCCGCCCTTTAGCAGCCGCCCTCGCCCTCCCATTGGCCCCCGCCGCGCCGCTTCCGCCTAGGACCGCACGACGATTGGTCAGAAGGGAGCTGAGGGCGGGAGCGTGCGCTCCAGCGGAGACGCGCAGGCGCCATTGGCTGGAGAAGGCGCGGCGGGGCGGGCGCTGCGGTTCCATTGGCTTTAGCGCCTGCCAGTCAGGCGGAGAGCGGTGATTGGCGGCAGAGGGCCCGGGGGGCGGGGCTGCCGGTGCCGGAGGGGGGCCGGGAGCGTCGGCGCCATGACAGAGCCTGAGGGAGTCACAGCTCCATCCTCAGCCTCGCCGCTCCCTGCCGCCGCCGGAGCCAACGCCCATGGTGCAGGGGAGGCTGCGTGGGGAGCGGCTCCAGATGGAGGGACACGTTCACCCCTCAGTGATACGGAGCTCCGTGGTCCTGAGGGCCAAAGCCCCCTCTAGGCTACTGATGAGCTGGTGCTGGATGTTGGTCATTTAATAACGCGTTGCAACTAAAAGTCATTTAGGAACAATACTTTATGGCCTTAAAAATGGCGTCAGGCCCTGACCATGCTGGGTTTGGTTGCCATGAGCCCGCAGGCCACCTGTGTGTGGCAAACACCGAGACCACCCTTGGGCTGTGCCAGCAGCAGGGAAGGCCTTTCCCTGGTCCCTCAGGGGCACAGGAGTGCCCAGCGTCCTCCTCACAAGTGGGGGGTGTGACAGGGACAGCGAAATCCACTTGGGGGTGGATGGACCTTGCCACGTCAGGGAGGCACTGGAGGGAAACAAATTATAAGATAACACACTGTCCACAGTGTTATGTTTATAAATCTGCTTTTCTTGTGTTATCCCAAAAGAGCCATGCGTTAACATTGCTGGTAACATCAACTGTTCCGAGCTGTGCTCATGGTTGCTTTATATAACTGGGTGGAAAAATCCTTCCTCTCATTTCAGGCATTTTGGTTCCTCTGTTTACTGGGAGTTGGAGCTTCCTACGTAGAGAAAGCTCTCAAGGAGCAAGTCACATTTTCCAGGGCGCTGTGCATGTGGAGAGATGAGTAACTGCTGTAGCCTGAGTCACAGGGAAGGAGGGAGCTCTGAGGAAAGGGAGAGAGGGAACTGCTGGAATGACGGTGGCAGAACAAACAGCGGCATCCTCTCCTCCTCGATTACTCCAGGTGTGATCCTGTACCACTCAGTCAAACAGCAGTATTCCTTATCGTTTAATTAACCTTGTGGGATTGCCCAGGGTTTATGGTTGCTAAATTTGTCAGCAACTCAGCTGGGCTGAGGTTTGGTGTGTCTCAAGGCAGCTGAGTTATGCTTGTGATCAAGCTACCAGATAGGCTCAGCAGATAAACATCCGGTATCAGGCTTAACTAAGTATTTCAGGAATGTGTTTGAGTTTGATTACATAAAATTGCAGTCCAATTGACTCTGGGTGTACCTTAGCTCCTTCACCATCTGATCCAGGCAGGAAAAAACAGATCCAGGCAGGAAAACATGCCACAGACCAGAGCTTAGCCTCTGGGTAAGGCTTTTAAATCCTTGAGGCTGTTGGAGATTTCTCTGACCTGAGAGAAGCTCAGCTGTTAGAAGATAGCTTTGTTATGGACCCTGCCACAAAGCAGAGCAAACCAAACTCTCAGCTGCCCACTTCTTGCTGAGGAGAAATGAAACATAGGATGGTCTTTTACACCAGGGTTGCTCAGATGCATCAGTGAGGAATGAGAGCCAAGAACTGGAGGGGACTTAACACTGGAGAGGTGGCAGCACAAATTCACAGGTGGCTGTGGCAGCAGTAGCCAAAATCCTGAGTTTTGTTTATTGCAGTAAGAAGGGAAGTGATGGAAAAGGTGCCGTGTCTCCAGGAAGGGGAAGAAGAATCAGTGCGAGTCATTGGCTTTTCACTCTGAGTGATGTTGGGGGGTTCCAGCTGTACCTTGTGGTGTGGGAGCAGGGGTGGCTGGGAGGGAGCAAGAGCATTTTGGGAATACAAAGGGCTTGTGAAGGGAGCTGCCCTCCCTCAGAGCGTGCAGGGAGTTGCTCCGGCCAGCCCACTCCATAGGGCTGGCGCTGGGAACAGCAGTGTTACCATAGGTGGAGCGCTCCAGCCCAGAGCCAGCAGAGAGGCTGTGCCGCTCACAGCAAACAGCTCATGCTCAGGAAATGCCATCTGAGCAGGAGCCTGAACCATCCCAAAAGGGAAGGTGCTGGGAAGGGCCGAGCTTCATTCCCAGTCTTGTAGGGAAGGATTTGGCAGCAGCAGCCCAGCAGATGTTTCTGCCTGATGTTAGTGCAAGGAAGTGGGATGGGGGTGTCCATGAACACCCTAATGCTTTAGAGACAGGAGGATCCTTCTCTGAGTAGTGTGGATATTGTCAAAGGGGCCAAATGTGTGTGCAGGGAACTGCAGGCACGGGGAAAAATGCAGCTTTGCCTTGTGCTTTGGGCAGGCAATTACCTCTGTACAGAGGCCAAAAAAAGACTGATGATAATTCCACCTTTTTAAACGCAGCAATTGGAAAGGTACCAGGCAGAGAGAACTCCACGTGCTGCTGAGCCAGCCTGAAGACACCCCCGTGCAACACCGTGGTGACAGTCACCTTTTGTTCTTCACATCCCTCTCTCTTTTTGGCTGTTGCTGCCACAAGGAACTCAAACTCTTTTTCTGCTTCGTTTCCCCTGGCCCAGCTTTTCTCCTGCTCAGCAAACGCGCCGTGTGCTGAAGGACTCCCGCGGACTTTGCACCCCCGAGGGAACCTTTTTGCTGGAGGAAACATCAGGGTGTTCATCTCTGCCAGTGGTGTAGCAGAGAGAAAAAAGGAAAACATCTCTTAGGCAGGGCTTGATTGCCAGCTGAAAATAAGCAAAGTGCCTGTCAGTGACATGCGAGCACAAAAAAAGCTTTGCAGATGGAAATAAAGGCAATGCTTTTTTCCTCTTCTCCTGCTCTGCCTTCCCTGCAGTGCCAGCGAGGCTTTGGCTCGTGGGCTGCAGAGCCGTGCTGTTCCGGAGCCTGTTGGATCTGGAGGCACAGTGCTCTTTGCACTCTTACGTGTTTTCTGAAAATGGTGGCTAAAAGCGTAATGGGCACTTTGCAGAGCTCTAAATAGCCCAGCCTCTGTCCTGAGGAGCTGGCAACGCACGGAGGCAAGTGCCCGGGATGGGAGAACGGCTGCATCATACAAACCAGTCAGGGAGGTGGCACATGGCCCACCTGCTCAGTATTTTTCCATCACATTCTCATTCAGCTGCTCCTTTCCAACTTCCAGCTCTGTCACGCTCCTCAAAAGCTTCTACTCTGGGTTTATTTAGCATGCTATTTATTTCCTAATTATAGAACTGAAGTGACTACCTCAGCCAGCCCTGCTGGGTACTGCTGTCCACCTTTTTGTCCCCTGTAGACCACAGGCTCTGGTCTCTAATGGCTGAAAGCCATCACTAGAGACTTTTTGACTCTTTTTTTTTGTTTTTCTACCAAACCCAAAAGGGCTCTGACTGCTAACACAGGGAGCTTCACTAATCATCTCAGAGCAGATGGGCTATTGCATTCCCAAATTCTTTAGGCCGAAAGAGAAATGCCACTTAGCTGAGCACTTTACCAGGCCGTGCTCTGCTGCTTCTGTCCACAAATTCCCAACAGCCAGCTCATAGCTTTTACCCCACATCCAGCCACAGCTGCTGGATGGAGGAAGAGGTTTTGAAAATCACTCCCCAGCAACAGCAGTGCTGCTGGTCCTGCTTCTGGATGCTCCGTGGCACTTGAATCCTGCCCGGTTCCACAAGCAGTCTTGGTGCTCTAAGAGAAGAATGCATCTGTATCTCCCTCAGATGAATCTGTGCCACAACACTCCTGAATTTTCCAGGGGGTCTGGTTAGGTGAAATTCCTGCCTTCTTCACCAAAAGCTGCCAGGCTGAGCAGACCTGTCCCCGCAGCCGCTTCTTATGTCGCCTCTTGTTTGCTCTCACCCATTTCTGCCCCTTTATCACACATTTTGGTGAATCGAGACACAGCTGCAGGAGCCAAGTGGTGCTTTGGTGTGGCACCTGTTCCTAAAGCCACTGGCACAAGCAGAGGGGTCCTGTGCAGGGGAGGTGGCATCAGAGCAGCAGGTGTCTGGCAGGCCCGGGGAGCAGGGAGGGGAGGCCTCTCTGGTGGAAAGCAGGATGGACTTGAACAAATTGATGTAGTAGAGCCAGAAGGATGTATGAGTTTCTCCTGGAGTGTTTCCAAGATGTCATACTGAATAAAGGAAGCCATTGGTCTTCTGTTTAATCCCAAGTGGTCTGTCTGACATTTGCCATTATACTGTGTTCCTGAGGTTGGAGTTTGGAAAGACTATGATTATCCTGCCTCAGAAAGCTGGTGAGGGAGACTGCTAAAACCATAGTTATTTATTTTTCAGTGGCTGCTTGTGAAATACTTTCTCTGGAAAATTTTCCGTAGAAGTAGTGGTGCCTGAGGAGAATGAAGGGTTGCAATCCTGCAAACTGAAATGCTCAGTGAAGTGAACAATAGAATTATCAGCCCCTTGCAAAAATCCA